AGTTACGAAACTCGAGAGACTGTGGGATACTGAAGGGAAAGGAAGCAGTTCTAACGAGCGCTTCTCAAACACAAGGATATATCTTGTGAACTTGGCTAGTATATATGAAACATTTGACATGGAGTTGTAGGGTGAGTTATGTGCCTCGCTGGGCTAAAGTAGTGGATGTCCTTGCTGTACGGCAAGTTAAACAAGGAACTGAAACTACTATGTTCCGTACAGACTCAACTCTGCACCCATGTCAATATGTTCATTATATGCAAGCCTCTTGATTTATCCCATACCACTGTAGAAATAAAACAAACATTTAACCATTAATTTTTCAAACAGGAATTGTTATTTGACAACCAGTAACCACCAACTTTTTGGTCTCATATCCTGTATTATAACTATATATAACTATATATTCTATAAATATATACGATTTTACGACAATTTAAAAAGTAATGATGATAATCATCAATGGACAATGAGGGCCAATTTGATGAAAGCGTATGCGTAAATCATTGCTGATCGGTAATAAACCGGCGTCAAGTGTTGATATTAAACAAAATTGATAATTTTATATTTTAATTCAGTCACCCAATATTAATCTTTTTAAATTATGCAAATAATCAAAACGTTAATTAGTTGTCGAATTGTCACTCTAAATAGCCATGTCCTAAAATTTCGCACTTTCTTGCAGACACTTCTTAATTAGAATTGCATCCATCGGAGCCACACGTTTTCCAGTTAGAGAAGTCGCTGCCTCCTCTGTCTCCGATGTACCAGGAGACAGCCCTCAAGCTGTGGTAACCGAACCACCCTCTGTTCAAGCAGCCTGTTACTCTCGCCTTTGCCTCAGCGGTCGCGTTGTAGTATTCAATAGAATAACACTTGTTGTGCCTACAACTTGTCAGAGTATCTTCGCAACTATTGACCGCCCTGAAATTGATATGTGTGTTCAGCAGAGATGGTACGGGTACTGCGGTTGAGTTGTAACCGGCAATTTTATAACTGGCCGGCCATGTACTGCTAGTTGTATAGTAGCTGAGGGTTAAACTAATAGTTTTAAGTTATATACTACTCGATAAAGTACTCAATATACGTACTCAAGATCTTTGCTTTTGAAAACTCCTGGCAGGAAAGGGTCTTCATTTGGACCAAACTCTCTGCATTCATAACATTGAACCCTGCCGTCTGCCACGGTTAGAAGAGCACCAACTAGTGCCAAAAATATCAACATCGCTGAAAGGGGGGATATAGTTAGTAAAACATAATGGGTATATCTGAATTGAAAAGAGCACTATATTTCAGTATAAGTTGGATTAAAAAGATTATTGTAACCCCCTCCCCCAAAAACCTCCGCCTTAGAACTCCGTGCCCCAGATTTTCTATCTAAATCGCTATCCCTAAAGTTTGGAGAAGGGTGAGAATATTATTCGGGTCAAGAGTGGGGTTCAGTCGAGATAAATAATCTGGGACACGAAGTACTGCAGCAGGACAACGCTACCGAACGAAACTTATTCACCGCAAAAGTGAATATGTGCTACCCGTTTTATACAATTTTTAATGGCATGACGATTCCCATCTCGCGTGAAATAATCGACAAGACAATCCTAACGCCAAAGTTATAGTAACTTCAGGAGGAAATACACTCGTTTGGAAGTCATTATTCCCTATGGATGGTACTGATAACAAGAACTTATCAACAGGGACAAATTTTAATTGCATTTTCGGATCATGCCAGATGTGAACTAAACCAAGAAGAAGTCCTGAAGAAATTTGGAACCCTTCTGGGGAAATTTGGAATTCAATAATCCATATGGATGGTACTAATAACAGGGACTTATCAAGAGGGACAAATTTTAATTGCATTTTCGGATCGTGCCAGAAGTTCTGTATATATACTGCACAAGTTTTGGGACGAAATGGCGGCCCATCGTTCGGATTATAATATTTAATAGATAATTATGCCCATCTTTTTGGCTCTACTGATAAGAACCTCGCGAAATTTTATTTGTTCCCATGAACTTAATTAACCCTGCCCCTTTTGTCAGATTGTGTGAACGGAACGGTGTACACAGAGTGTGCTGAAGAATGCCCGGCGACCTGCACCGACCCCTTCCCATCTTGTACTTCAGAGTGTAAGGAGGGCTGCCAGTGCCCTTCTCACGCTCCCTTACTCAACGATGGACAATGCATCCCTGCTAAGGAGTGTCCTGATGAAGGTGCTCTTCAAGTTTAATCTATTAATATATAACTTACTTTAACTTTTAAGTGAAAACTGAGGAAAACGGGAGCACCGTTACCAAAATTAATGTAGAATCATTTTTGTTTCCAAGACTATCCTATATGTATCCTTTCCATGTTTTAGTATCAGAAATTTCCAGTATCTTGTCGACCTCAACACAATTACATTATCCACAAGCTCATCCGATATTATCAAATGCTTTCCATCAGACTTAACTGCGTGTCAGAAGAGCAGGAACTCTGTGTTGTTCGGAGCTGACATGAGCCTGCTACCAACCAGGTTATACTCAAAATAATGGAATCTATATAACATATTGGTGTTTATTTTGAGGAGCAAATTTAGTGTTGCAGAGAAGGTTCCGTAAGTAATTACAGGCTTCACACTGAAACTCTATTCCCGTTTAGATGCGATGAAAATGGAGCCTATCTCCCACTACAGTGCTCGTGGGCTGAGTGTTTCTGTGTGACCCCCCTTGGAACCAGAGTAGCCACTGTCCCTTACTCTCTTGATGACTCTGTTTGCCGTGAGTATTAAGAGTACAGTTTGAATAGCCAATTTAATTAGTGAACCTTATTAATAGGATTATTATGGTTCATTTATTTTGATAAAGAGTGAGTGAGATTGATTATCTAAACTGCCTTTCAGACGAGATCGACTATAAAGTGGGGTCAGAGTGCAATGAAACTCACTGCTGGTGCACTGACAATAGAGGGAGCCCTGTTCAACACACTGCACGGTATGATATTTGAGGGTTTGCACGGTATGATATTTGAGGGTTATTGTTCAGGAAGTTAGGTGTACACAAAGAGAATCACCAGATTTAGTTACAAATAGTTGATATTATTGTTCAACAGGTTGAAGCATGCGGAGATATCTTGCAGAGAGTCAGATATCGACAAGTCTGTTGTCATGGTTACCAGATGTGAGAGAGAGCGTGATGATGAGTGCTCATGGGTTAGCATATTTTTAGCTTTATTAGACTAATTAGTTAATTGATTGATTTATATTTTAGGAAACGACCGAAATTTCGGTTTGGTTGTTTTTGACCGGTTTGGCAAAAATTTTACCGAATTTTGCCGCGAACGTTTCATCAATTCCGAAAAATTAAAATAGCGGTAAAATGTTTGGGGCCCAAGGACTACTAGCATTGGTGTATATCTGTAGGGGGGGAGTGTTACAAGAAAGCTTTAGAACTAAGTCAAGCTTAATTACCTTATCGGACCTTATTTGGACGGACATTAATTGAACGCTAGAGGCCTTAACGTTCATCTCAATGTCCGTTCAAATAAAGTCCGTTCATTTAAGGTCCGTCCAAGTTAAAGTCCGTTGCATTTTTTTCAAAAATTCGAACTTCTTGTCCAGAATATGACAACTATGAGAACTTTATTGTGCCGTAAGTTAACGACGGAAAGGTTCTCCTTGGTCTGCCGGAGGCACAGAAAACTCTACTAGTATATGATGTTTCCAAGGGGCACTTTGCGGAAAAAGTCAACGAAATTATGGCACTCAACAACATAGTTCATGAGCTAGTCCCCGCAAATATTACAAACTTGTTCCAGCCTCTACATATATTACGGTAAATCGTGTTGCCAAGGACATTGTCTATTACTATTAGACGAGACTAATGAGTTTCTCGAATATAAAATTGATTTATAGATTGCAACGGCCCTTAAGCGCTTGGTACATCGACTTTAATTCTATTTTAAGTCTATATAATTATCTGCACCCGGGAATTTAAAACTGCAAAATCTTGCAGCTTCGGGAAATTAAATTACCACAATGATATCAGAGTTCAGACTACGCAATATGTGAGTCAACGAAAATAAATCCCATAGAAAAAGCGCTCTTGATGAATCGCTAATGAGAGCGGGAACTGGAAAAAGGACGGTCAAGCAAAACCCTTGCAAATCTTATCGAAGATATTCCCTCTAAGAGTTACTCCCAAGCTCCCACACTGTAAAACACTAAATCATGTCGAGTCCTAAATAATGGTGATCAGTGCGGACCAAACAGCAAAGCCAAAAAGAAAAGAAAAGGGGGGACCCCCAACCCATTTAGGCGTAGCTGAGACACCTCACAGCAAGTAGACCAAAGTGGCTCTTGCAGCTTGTGAAAGGTGTATCAACTCCCCGCTTGGTTCAGCTAGGCCTGATGGAGTTCTCTTCCAATTATTCAATTAGACAGTTATATATAGTATATAGCCTTATGAAGCAGCCCACAAGTGAGCCAGAAAGAAGGTTAACTTATTTTATTCCAGCTGTTGTGAGCCTAATGATCATTATGAAAGTCTGGAAATAGAGATCAAGTTTCTAGCTTACTCGTTGAAACTGAAAAGACGTTGAAACTGGGATACAATACACTACACGAACGCCCAAAAAGATGAACCAATTGATATGAGCAACGTTTAAAATTGAACAGCGTTTTAACGTTGTATTTAATTTTAGATTGTGAATGAAAAGTTCTTAAACGTTTTATAGGCCAACGTTGGTTAATTTTAAAGGTCAATTTTTTAACGTTGAAGTTGAACTATTTCATGCACGAAAACCCATTTGATGAAGATGATATGTGATATTAATGTCCGTTCATAATTATGTCCGTTCATTTAATGTCCGTCCAAATAAGGTCCGATAAGGTAGCTTAATCTGTGAATCAATTGCCATGACAAATAAATGTAACAGTAAAACACCACATTTAAACTATACTCCACCTCAGGTTGACCCAATACTGAAGGTGCTATCACCGGGTGACAGCTGTCTCTCCTCCAGCTGTACAGAGAAGGGTTACTACCTGTCCATACAGTGTAATCAGAACAGGTGTTGGTGCTCTGACCAGAGTGGGGGCCTCATCCCATGGACTGTCCGGCACAGACAAGCAGGTCAGTAAATTGATAGTGCCCCCCTAACAGTGCGGTAATGTGCGGTAATAGTGCCCCCTAACAGTGCGGTAATATGCGGTAATAGTGCCCCCTAACAGTGCGGTAATATGCGGTAATAGTACCCCCTAACAGTGCGGTAATGTGCGGTAATAATGCCCCCTAACAGTACGGTAATGTGCGGAAATAGTGCCCCCCCTAACAGTGCGTTAATGTGCGGAAATAGTGCCCCCCCTCCTAACAGTGCGGTAATGTGCGGTAATAGGTCAGTAGAGTTTCTCTAAAAGTTTGCTTTTATATCAGAAATCCCAATGATAGTAAGTGTGCACAAAGTGATTGGCCATTCAAGGGTTTCCGCTCAAAAATATTACCTTATCGGACCTTATTTGGACGGACATTAATTGAACGCTGGAGGCCTTAACGTTCATCTCAATGTCCGTTCAAATAAAGTCCGTTCATTTAAGGTCCGTCCAAGTTAAAGTCCGTTGAATTTTTTTCAAAAATTCGAACTTTTTGTCCAGAATATGACAACTATGAGAACTTTATTGTGCCGTAAGTTAACGACGGAAAGGTTCTCCTTGGTCTGCCGGAGGCACAGAAAACTCTACTAGTATATGATGTTTCCAAGGGGCACTTTGCGGAAAAAGTCAACGAAATTATGGCACTCAACAACATAGTTCATGAGCTAGTCCCCGCAAATATTACAAACTTGTTCCAGCCTCTACATATATTACGGTAAATCGTGTTGCCAAGGACATTGTCTATTACTATTAGACAAGACTAAAGAGTTTCTCGAATATAAAATTGATTTATTGATTGCAACGGCCCTTAAGCGCTTGGTACATCGACTTTAATTCTATTTTATGTCTGTATAATTATCTGCACCCGGGAATTGAAAACTGCAAAATCTTGCAGCTCCGGGAAATTAAATTACCACAATGATATCAGAGTTCAGACTACGCAATATGTAAGTCAACGAAAATAAATCCCATGGAAAAAGTGCTCTTGATGAATCGCTCTTGATGAATCGCTAATGTGCGGAAATAGTGCCCCCCTAACAGTGCGTTAATGTGCGGAAATAGTGTCCCCCCTCCTAACAGTGCGGTAATGTGCGGTAATAGGTCAGTAGAGTTTCTCTAAAAGTTTGCTTTTATATTTTTTAACGGCCAGGTAGCGCAGTTGGTTAGCCAGCTTTGCAATCGTGAGGTTGCGGGTTCAAATCCCACTGTCTGCCTGGTCGTGGGGTGAGCGTCGTTGACGTTCAGCTAAGGATCGTGAGTGGTCTATGCAGCCCCCCGGTCTACTCAGCCGAATACTCGAGAAATCGGGTGTGAGGGTTAAATGAGGAGCTGCACATTGCAGCAAAGTCTCGGGCGAAGAAAGTATGGTACACACTACCTTAACCGTCACTGGCTAAAAACAAATCCTTCGGCTTCCTGTAATTGGCTGGTTGCACTTGTGTAACAATATGGCTGTTGGAATACTCCGAAGTAAAATAAGTGTCTAGATAAAAATTTAAAAAAATCAGAAATCCCAATGATAGTAAGTGTGCACAAAGTGATTGGCCATTCAAGGGTTTCCGCTCAAAAATATTACTTTATCGGACCTTATTTGGACGGACATTAATTGGGCGCTGGAGGCCTTAACGTTCATCTCAATGTCCGTTCAAATAAAGTCCGTTCATTTAAGGTCCGTCCAAGTTAAAGTCCGTTGAATTTTTTTCAAAAATTCGAACTTTTTGTCCAGAATATGACAACTATGAGAACTTTATTGTGCCGTAAGTTAACGACGGAAAGGTTCTCCTTGGTCTGCCGGAGGCACAGAAAACTCTACTAGTATATGATGTTTCCAAGGGGCACTTTGCGGAAAAAGTCAACGAAATTATTGCACTCAACAACATAGTTCATGAGCTAGTCCCCGCAAATATTACAAACTTGTTCCAGCCTCTACATATATTACGGTAAATCGTGTTGCCAAGGACATTGTCTATTACTATTAGACAAGACTAAAGAGTTTCTCGAATATAAAATTGATTTATTGATTGCAACGGCCCTTAAGCGCTTGGTACATCGACTTTAATTCTATTTTATGTCTGTATAATTATCTGCACCCGGGAATTAAAAACTGCAAAATCTTGCAGCTTCGGGAAATTAAATTACCACAATGATATCAGAGTTCAGACTACGCAATATGTAAGTCAACGAAAATAAATCCCATGGAAAAAGCGCTCTTGATGAATCGCTAATGAGAATTGAGAGCGGGAATTGGAAAAAGGACGGTCAAGCAAAACCCTTGCAAATCTTATCGAAGATATCCCCTCTAAGAGTTACTCCCAAGCAAAGCCAAAAAGAAAAGAAAAGGGGGGACCCCCAACCCATGTAGGCGTAGCTGAGACACCTCACAGCAAGTAGACCAAAGTGGCTCTTGCTTGTGAAAGGTGTATCAACTCCCCGCTTGGTTCAGCTAGGCCTGATGGAGTTCTCTTCCAATTATTCAATTAGACAGTTATATATAGTATAGCCTTCTGAAGCAGCCCACAAGTGAGCCAGAAAGAAGGTTAACCTATTTTATTCCAGCTGTTGTGAGCCTAATGATCATTATGAAAGTCTGGAAATAGAGATCAAGTTTCTAGCTAACTCGTTGAAACTGAAAAGACGTTGAAACTGGGATAAAAAAACATTACACGAACGCCCAAAAAGATGAACCAATTGATATGAGGCATGAGCAACGTTTAAAATTGAACAGCGTTTTAACGTTGTATTTAATTTTAGATTGTGAATGAAAAGTTCTTAAACGTTTTATAGGCCAACGTTGGTTAATTTTAAAGGTAAATTTTTTAACGTTGAACTATTTCATGCACGAAAACCCATTTATGATGAAGATGATAATATGCGATATTAAACACTGATCATGTACACATCTTTTAACATTTTTACTGCTTAACGACTGCTTTTCTTACTTACTGTATAAAAAATGGATTTAAAAATCATTTTCTGGAATAAAAAAAAGTTTTAAAAAATGAAAAAAAATCGGATTTTTGATGGTTTTGAGTGCCTTCTAGCGTTCATATTAATGTCCGTTCATAATTATGTCCGTTCATTTAATGTCCGTCTAAATAAGGTCCGATAAGGTATTTAATAGTTGAATCTATATTGTGTCAAATATTGCATTCAGTTTAGCCAATTCTGACTAATTGACTACACGAGTATAAAACAAGTTATCCTACTATATCCCCAGGTCTGCAATGTACGACTGAAGGTGTCCCGACAACCCGGTGTGATAGACTCCACAACGAAGGAGTCACCATAGAGTGCGATGTTCTGGGAGTGCCAGCCCCCAAAGTCTGCAGAGCAACCTCCTGCTGGTGTGTTAGCAGTGCTGGAGATGAAATACCCGGCACCAGAGGTAACCAGGATATAACATGTCCTGAGCGGGCAGATGCTTGTGTTTTGGAGAGAGACGGGGGAGTGGTAGCTGCTGATATTTGGGGACTGCCTCTTCTTGGATCTGTTTATCCACAGTGCGACATTTGGGGCAGATACCGTAGTAAACAGTGCAGGAACGGGGAGTGCATCTGTGTGGACACTGTCTCAGGTGTACCACTGGAGGACACTAGCTGTCTGTCTGACACAACAACTACTCTCTACTCCAGCTACTTTGGCGAGGACATTCAAATAGAACCTCTTGTTGAACAGTCCCCGTCTTCCTGTTTGTCACAGCAAGAACTGGTCAGTCTGAATTTAACAGACCACGAGATCTCAATGAAGCTGCCACTCTGTTCAGCTGACGGTGGTTATTTCCCTCAGCAGTTCAGATCGGATATTGGGTCGTGGTGGTGTGTTGACCCCCAATCTGGCGAGGAACTATCAGGTGGGAGAGGAGCTCGACACACCCTGCCCTGTTCCGGAGCTGGACTCGGTCAGGTTCTGTTCCAGTCCGTTAAAATACCAGGGTGTGTAACGGATGAGATAGTCAGGGTGGTTAAAGAGGATGCTAGCAGTGGTCTAACCTGTGAGGATTACCTCTACCACTCTGTTCAGTGTTTAGATGATGATGGTAACCAGTGCTTCTGTGTTACCTCTGACACGGGCATCCCTCTCTCGCTCTCCTACTCTCGCCGCTTCCTGCTGTCCTGTCCGGACATGCCGGAGACAGCGTGTTTGAGGGAGCAGTTCCAGGCTTGTTCTGACGACACAACCCCGCTACTTCTCTCCTCTTGTCCTGAGACGTGTGATCGGGAAACGGGCAACTTCCTTCCTCTTCAGTGTGATAATGATACTTGCTATTGTGTCAACATTATTACTGGCCTGGTAATTTAAATAGCTAGCTTTGACTTTCTTTTCAATTAATTAACTTTCTTTTCGATCATATATTGTGATAGACCAGCTCACTCAATTTCACCAAGCAATTTAACACCACACCGGAATGTTTGCAGGAAATCCCGTACAGTCATGGTCGAGCAGGAGGGTTCAAGTGCTCTGAGTTTGGTAGGATTATGGAGGATAACAGAACAGTGTGTCAGAAGCAGGAGGACAGGAGGTGTGATGCTGTCTACCACGACTCACCTGGTATGTCAAGAAACTTAACTAACTTAACCAAGAATTAAAGCAAATAAATACAGCTACTTTGATTAAAGTACAGCTGGTATGACCATGTTACTAATAAAGTAATGACAGCTGTTTGTTTACACTTGGATATTATCATGAGATCATATCCACAATGATATCATGTGATCGCTGATCGCTCATAAGTTTTTTAAACAGCTTAGTTGCATAAAAAGTTGACGATGGACGCTTTCAAATCAAATCTCCAATTTTCTCACTAATAAAAAAGAGAAAGAATCAACCAATGAAATGAATATAGAAAATCTCTGAACTGTGTCTTCTCTCAGCGACAGAAGGATGTCACATCTTGTGGTGCGAGGGAGAGAAGTACAGCGCTAAACAGTGTGACGGAGATGAGTGCTACTGTGCTGATCCTGAAACAGGTACACGCCTCTCACTTGAGTAAGAGAATCTCTTGTGAGAAGAGGAATGGTTCTTTTTTTCTTCTTTTTTTTGACTTTTCAATATGAGGGCCAGCGAAGAGTCCACAGCAATTGTGTGGAACTGATTTTGCAGTTAAGCTGAAATCGATTGACGTCTTCTGCCCTATCCAGTCGAGGATTCCTTAGCCTGGACATTCTTTATATACATGCATAACTATAGTTTTCGCATGTATACATACCTGTTCAAAAAAGTTTTAAATCAATTGCCTCCAAATTTTAAATACCTCACCAAAAAATCTAACAAATAGTTTTTTTTTCTATTTCTGTTTCTATCCGTCTTACTTGTTGATGACTTACTCGGAACTAAAAGGAAAAACTCGCCTATTTGAGTATAATCTTTTCTCAAATTTTCCAAAATTTTCAACTTAATTGACGTCAAGTTTACAAAAGTTTACATAAGCTGACAAGTGTTATGTGCAGTCTTGTTATGTGCAGTCAGCAGGCTTGCAGAAATGTTGCCCTGACTCATCGCCAGCTTCTACATAAAAACATAAATACTAAAATATTATATACTACTGTATATTATTATTACATTAAATAGTACTATACGTGCTGTTTGAACTATCGTGGAATTTCAATACTTTAAATTTAAAATGTCCGTACTAGAGTCCGGACCCTCCGCGCACTAGCTAGGACGTGATGAGAACACTTACAACTGCAAAATCATAACCCAGCCTTTAATACGATCATAAACTAAAATATACAACGGAATAATATTTATAGCATTGTATGATGTGGCGGTTTTTTGAAATGAAAATACTTTGTTTGGTTGTTGCAGCAGTTTGTGATGAATATTTTTATCGTTACACCCCTTCTGTTGACCCTAATTTTAGGAGACGCAATTGACTACGCAGACTTTGGTCGCTCTGACTTCTCGTGCGGGAGTAACGGGCAAGTGCTGTACAGCAACCTGACGGTGTGCCAGCTGCAGGAGCTGATGCTGTGTCCCAGTACGTACTACCCTCAGTTTGATGCGTATCTCAGACCCCTCGCCTGCCCGCTGCCGCTCTGTTATCCTGACGGTCAGTTCAAGAAGAAGATATCTCTTAAAATAGTTTATTCGGAGTTTTTTTTCAATCGCTATCTAGATGTTTAACTAATAATCGATCATTCTAAGAATAAGGTCCGTTTTTCCGGAATTGTTGCACTTAAACTATAGCACTCAGACTAGCCCATTATGAATATTAATCTCAGATTTTGAACAACTGAATTTCAGGAAGTTATCATACTCAACGGTGCCTAGGTGATGTGTGTGGTTGTGTGGATAGAGAAACTAGCGCTAGTATACCAAACACAGTACACACTCACGGTGTAAAGGTTAGTAGACAAACTCAGTTATTGGGGAGTTGAAAATCATTCATTTCTAAACCATCATAAAATTAATATTTCTTATTTAGTCGTCTCACAATTTGCACGCCTTTAGAGATGTGACGAGGAAGGGAACCTAATCGAGGACAAGAGGTCGACCTGTGAGAAAGAGAGATCTAAGTTCTGTGAGCCTCAGTCTCTGGACGGTATCAGGGTGGTACCTCCAGACTGTCCCGCTCTCCACTGCATTGGCACTGGTTAGTGAACGCTAAATTAGTCTTTAGCTGGATTTTCAATCATTTTCGGTTGTAACAGAGAACAGCAACTTCACGCAAAAATAAATAGTTTCTCGCAGAATGCCACCTGAAACTTTGGGTAAAAGTTTCGCCATCCACAACCGGCTATTTACAGCTTCATTATAGTTATATACTTTACTTTGTTATAATATGAATGTGGTTATATACTTGGTTAATAATGAACAATGTTATCTAGGATTATTCAGTCCTCTGCAATGCAGTAACGCTGAATGTCACTGTGTAAATGTAAACACTGGTGAGGAGTACCCGGGTACCAGGAGTGATGAGGTCGGAACATTTGACTGCGACTACGCCGGCAACACCTTCAACATCGAGGAGGGTAATGGGGGGCTTTGTGGGGAACAGGTATGTGTTAAACATGTTGAAACTGTGTTAAACATGTTGAAACTGTGTTAAACATGTTGAAACTGTGTTGAACATGTTGAAACTGTGTTAAACATGTTGAAACTGTGTTCAACATAGCTCCGCAATAAAACGACACTTATTTCTTTTTTCACAGTTTTTCTCATGGAAAAGGGATTGAAATTTACTTGAACAGAAATTGCATTGAATCTAAATAGTTGATTTATGTTTATGTTATTGAAGCTTGGTATTGGTACTTTATAGTTGGATTTATGTTATTGAAGCTTGGTATCGGTACTTTTGTATAGAGGATAGCTCTAATGACTCCTTCCTCAGACGGAGAAAGAATGTGACGGAGAAGGAGAGTGGTTTGTTAGGGAGCAGTGCACGTCTGAGTACTGTTACTGTGTCTATCTGGACAGTGGGGAGGTCCTCGTTGGATCTGAACAGGTATGGGGACTTATTAGATGAAACAGCGTACAGTAATATAATAAATTAAAGCTGATTAATAAATCTTGAAAATAACGTTAAATTGTTATTTTAACTCAATAGAAAATTTGGATTAAAAGTTACTTTTGAATAATACCGCCACTTTTACAAGTTAATGTTTTCTGGCAATTTTCCTCATCTTCTTTAGTCTCATGAAATTATCCTGGTGCAGCGATCCATCGCAACGTATGTATATTTATCTGGCTTAATTTAAAATTACAATATTGTAGTCCATATACAAAATTAAATCGACCGCGTTGCATATTGTGATAAATTAATCGTTCCAGTTTTTAATTAATAAGAAGGAATAAAAATCAGTTTAGCTAAAAAGATCAATAAAAACACCGTGTTTCAGGTGGTAGGTGTGCCTGTGTGTCCCGCTCTGATCGACACTAGAACTAAGTGTCAAGTCCAGCACGACAGGACATGTGTTAAGACGTTCCAGGGAGGTGAGCTTGTTGGAGAGTGTCAGACTACACGGTGCAATGAAGATGGGAGCTTCCTAACTCAGTACTGCAGCCAGGAGACATGCTGGTGTGTTGATAGAGAGTCAGGGGAGAGGGTCCTGGAGACTGAGTTCCAGCAGGGTACACATTACTGTAACGAGGTATCGGAGAGGGTCTACCTGCCTCCTTGTCTCCGACAAGACGCTCTGATCTGCACTGATGAGGGACTGTATGCTAGCATGCAGTGCGATGAAGTGAAGTGTTTCTGTGTCTACTCTGACTCCGGAGAGGGTGTGTCAGGACAGTTTGAGGTGATGAATACTGTTGAGTGTGCAGAGAGGAATGATACTCGAGGTCCGTGTCAGAAGGAAAGAGACCGTACCTGTGAAGGTGATGAGGACTGTTCCGTGCTAACATGTGATGAGGAGGGTAACTACCTGGCTCTCCAATGTCTCAGAGGTGATGTGTGTATCTGTGTCGACCAGAGTTCTGGACAACTCACCTCGCCTGCTTCACATGTGGTATCAGACGTGATATGTGCTCCTGACGGGGAGTTGACAGAGTACCCGGAGTGTTTTAACCAGGATGAGCTGGAATGTGACGGCAGTGGAACTTCTCTCCATCTCAGTGCTACAATGATGGAACTTGTTTCTGTATGTACGGAGAGGTAGATGGAGAATGTCTGGAAGATTCTAGAACGCACTGTGAGCGAAGAAGAGAATACCAATGCGATGACAACGAGGACTGTCCTATCCAGTGTGACAGTGAAGGGAAGTACGGACAGTTTAATTGCGAAGATAACCTTTCTGAGGGCCGGTGTGTGGCAGGAGGGTTCTTTAAACCTCACCACTGTACTGGTGACATCTGTTACTGCGTGGATATCAATACTGGAAATGCGATTATAGACACCCTGAGCCAAGGAAACGACTTCTACTGCTCGCCAGATGGACAAATAACGGACAGAACACTTTGTCAGGAACAAACCTTCTACTCTTGTGATGACTCTGGATATTTCCTCCCAGTTCAAGAAGTAGAAGGAAGGTTTGAATGTTTGCACATTGATACTGGAGCACCTAATTACCATGACAGTGTATGTGCACCATCCTACGACCTGAGGACTGAATGCCAAAAAGTGAGTGATGACAGGTGCCCGTATATTTATCAGGGAGTATCTTATGTTCCAGATACGGGATGTGAAACAGTGCAATGCGACCCTGACACTGGTCTCTTCCTGGCAAAGCAGTGTCACAAGGGCGTCTGTTACTGTGTTGAGGTGGATAGTGGGGTTCTTGGAGGACGACCTGAGAGCCCAGAAACAGAGTTCTATTGTCTTGACTCTGGAGAGCTTGTTGTTCTGACTCTCTGTAGGAAGCAAGGGGTTCTAGAATGTTCAACAGATGGGCAGTTCACTCCAGAGCAGTTTGTTAAGGATGTCTATTTCTGTGTGTTTTCAGATTCCGGCGAGGTAATTGAGGACACTAAGTCTATTACAGCTGATATTGAGTGCTCCATATTGACCGATCAAAGAACACCTTGCCAAAATGCCCGGGACGATATTTGTCCAACTGAACTTACGGAAATGAACGTCTATTCCAGACCAGAAGATTGTACTGCTCTGACATGCGATGCCTCAAGTGGAAGATACTCGATAAAGCAATGCTCTGATGATGACAGCTGTTTCTGTGTTGACCCTGCCTCAGGGTCGGTCACCTCTGACTCAGCACCTGATCACACCTTTGTGTGTGACGAGGAAGGTGTGATGACAATCCTCACACTTTGTCAGCAGCAGGATCTTCTGATCTGCACTGAGGAGGGTGACTTTCAGTCCAAACAATGTTTCTCCGACCAAGGTCCTTGTTACTGTGTATATTCCGATTCAGGAATTTTAGTTCACAACTCTGATGTGACAGTGTATAGGTGTGATGTGGTTGTGGATGAAAGAACAGACTGCCAGCTTGTTCTAGACGAAGAGTGTCCTGCCAAACTCAGGTCAGATCACTTAGCAAGACCAGGAGACTGTTCAGCTTTATCCTGCACGGAGGACGGAGAATTTCCTACCATGCTCTGTGTTGGAAATGCTTGCTATTGTGTGGATATTAAAACAGGGACTTTGATAGAGGACACTAGAGGACCCAGAGACACGTTCGTTTGCAGTAGGGAGGGTGAGAGACTGAGATTGACTCCATGCCGACGACAATCCCTCTACTCTTGTGACAGTCGAGGTAATTTCCACGCTACCCAGTGCGACCCATCAGGAGAGTGCGTGTGTGTGTTTGTGGACAGTGGTTACATTAGAGAGGCAGTGGAGTGGTGTGATGCTCAGGTGGACAACAGGACCGACTGTCAGAAGGAGAGGGATGCAGGGTGTGGTAATCTGAGCGATTGTTTCCTTCCTGACTGCGATTTCCACGGTGAGTTGTCTTACTATTGATTCACTTCAATCTACATACTATGTATGATAAATAATTATGACAGTTCAGCTTTTCCTATTTTAATTAAAATTCGATCTTAATTAAGGTACACGTTATAAACAGTAAACACTTTAACAGTTTGAAGTTTAGTTATGGTAGACGTTAACAGTTTGATAAAGTAGGAACCTGTCAGGTAACTATGAAAGAGAACAGTGTAGAGGAACAGAATGCCAATGTACTGACCCCTTCACCGGGGAACCAACCAACGACAACAAGTTCCGTTCCGGATCCCATTGGTGTGACGAGAGTGGAGCTCCTCGTCTTATCACCCTGTGCAAGGCTCAGGGCTTGTTGGAGTGCGACACTGAGGGGAACTTCGAGCCGGCTCAGTGCAACACTAAGTTCTGTTTCTGTGTGTACTTTGATACTGGAAATGTTAGGGAGAACACTGAGAGTATATTCTTCCCTGGTTAGTGAAGTTAGATCACAATATTGCCACAAATCCCACAATATTGCCACAAATCTCACAATATTACCACAAATCTCACAATATTGCCACAATATAAATATGAGAGATTCATTGATTCCACTCAGTGGTAATTCTACAGCCAATTATATTAATTAGGGCAGTGTTGTTTTCTTTATTCGTGGGGTTAATAAGGCTATACTAGTAGATACTACTACTAATAAAGCTATCTGTAACCGTTCTATAATTAGTCGGATCTCTATTGGCTCCCTTACCCAAACATTATCCCCACAGAAAACTGTCCCGTACTCCGAGAGGACAGAACACTCTGTCAGATAGCCTCCTATAAATCCTGTCCTAAACAGATCCGACCTGGAACTACAGATATCACCAGGTATTTCATAATCACATCCTATTTTATTTCGAATATCCCCTTTTCTACGAACTAAGTTGGATGATCTCCACCACGATGTTTTATGTGCTATGTGTTGAGTGTTTGTTAAACAACTTAACCTTGTGACCCGGCAGGGACGAGGGATGTGAGTTGCTGGAATGTAGGGATGACGGATCCTTCTACCCCATGTACTGCGAGGGTAACATATGTTGGTGTATGGATGTGGGAAAGGGACATGAGATTGAAGACACCAGAGGAGAAAAGGACTCCTTCCACTGTACAGAACAGGGAGAAAAGGTTACTTACGTTTTTAAACTTAAATTTTCATTATGAAGTTACTGAGTAAATGCATTCATTACATGCAATTTCAGTTCAAACTATCAACACTACTTTATGAAAAATGAATTGATAAATAGACATGACGAAAAAACAAATTTAAATACTTTAAAAGTATTACTTTTGACGTTGTAAATTTCAAAGAAGTGCCCCCCAGATAGTGTACTCGGGATGCGAGCGGAGGAGACATAACGTGTGTGGACTAGACTTTGACAGGCAGAACAGCAGATGGATCATGTCTGAGGAGTGTAACGAGTATCCGTGCGATCCTGTGGACAAGCTCTTCGTTGCTAAACAGTGTCTCGGGCCACACCTTTGCTGGTACTTAATATTTACTGTGTATTCTTGTCTCTAGTTCATTCAAGCAAACCGCGACAGATAATTCTTTATTATAACCCTAGATACGAATTTGACGGCCCCCTAGCTATAGTTAATCAATAAATTTCTATAGTTAACCCCCCCCCCTCCCCCGGCCCCCGACTGATTCCAAATGTGCAGGTGTATTGACCGATATAACGGAGACGTAGCCCAGGGTTCAGTGAGTTCTAACTGCTCACTAGAGTGTCACTCTAACAACACCTACACCATCTCTCCATGCGTGCAAACCACCAGCTGTCTGGAACAAACTGTCAAGGAATGTGACTACACTGGGGAGTACTTCCAGTTCCAGGTTGGTCACGTTTTATTATACTGATCACGTGAGGTCATGCTGGTCACGTTTTATACCGAGGTCATGTGAGGTTATGCTGGTCACGCTGGTCATGCTGGTCACATGAGATCATGCTGGTCAAAATAGAAAATTCCCACTATTAGTAATTGTTATTTACATTATTTTCATATTCATTATTCGACCATGAGTTTTATAACAGGTGGCCCAAGATGGTGTACCTATTTGTGTGTATATGGACTCAGGGAGGTACATGCCCTTCTCGGAGGCGGGGACTAACGAATGTACTCGAGTTAGAGACAACAGAGGTAATACTCTCCGAATTGTATCTAGTTACTTTGATTCTTTATCGGTTGCAGTTAACTGGTCATTTAATTCATGCATCCGAAGTTTTAAACTGGGCGACAATCAGAAACTGGGCACCAAACAAAAGAGCAGCTTACTAACTTAAGATTTATATTAACTCTTTGTTTTTAACCATGTAGTTGTTTTGAACATTTCCGCTTATTGTTCTGTTTCAGGAAACTGTATGGTGGATTACCATGAGAGTTGTACGAGAACGTTCAACAGTGCAATCGGGGAGTACGAGTATCCACCGGACTGCTTCAGACCAAAATGTGCATCCGACGAAAGGTAACTGTTTGTCATTATTAGCTAAATCGTAACTGTTTCCAAGTTTACATACAGTTTTATTTATGTTTAAGCTGAGCCACCTCGCAACCATGTCTGGAATGCCTGCAATGATTTACAAGATATTCTCGGGTTTTTCTATTGAGCACTTTTATCTTTTATTTTAGATATACTAAAGAGAATTGCATACACCTAAACAAATTCAAATTGTAATACCCTGAAAAAGAAAGCAGTTAGTAATGACTGCCCCGGTCCCTATAGGTACGTGTCAAGACAGTGTGAAGGTGAGATATGTTGGTGTGTAGATCAGGACACCGGAACTAGACTTCCTGGTACCACCGGGGTCAGCTACCAGGTCAGTCCAACTTTTAGAAGAAAGCTCGTACTAATTATCCCGTACTAAATATCGCAATATTTCAATTCCATTCTGTGACTGAATTCTGTGACAGCGAAAGGTCCGATTTTACGAAAAGTCCAATTTCGTCAAGTCTATAAAGTCTATAACATAATATAAAGATGATGTTACGAAAGGTCCAATTTCGTCAAGTCTATAAAGTCTATAACATAAAGTCTATAAAGTCTATAAGTCTATAAAGTCTATAACATAATATAAAGATGATGTTACCTTAGGTTGAGTGTGCGCCGCCTCGGTCAGGCCGTTGCACTGACCAGTACCAGCTGAGGTGTGACGGGAGTTACTACAAGGAGACCCAGTGTACTGACAGGTTCTGTTACTGCGTCTTCATCGACACTGGCAAGGTGAGCTACCATTTATTAAACCAACATTTTATCTTTTCTTAAATTTACATCTTATTTTTAATGACGATATGGCCTGCCCTTGAGTTAAACAATTGATGTACCTCGTATTTTGCCCTGGTAATGCGCCCGTGAATCCGAAATTATGTAGTCTTGTCCCTCAGCTAATATGGGGGTCAATGACTCGAGGAATCGCAAACTGTACGAGGCAGTACGATACTAGAGGTCACTGTAGACGAGCTAGAGAAGAAACTTGTCGCATGTTTTACTTCGACTACACAGGTTCACTTTGCAGACAATCAGCGTTGCCTATATATTTCAGATTAATTGTGACTTTTATTTTCACCGATTTATTATATTATGTTGATCAAGTATTTTATTTGCTTGGAACTGGAGTCTGGAAGACCTCTGTTAGTCTATGGAATTATAAAAGATTAATTTATATTTCAGGAACATTCGGCACACTACCTGGGTGCGAGTTTGACAAAGAATGTGACCGTGACGGTAATTTCCCTAAAATGGAATGTGTTGGTGGTACCTGCATGTGCACAGACCCCAGAACCGGAGAAGTACGCAGGGAGACTAGCGGGCCTAGCGGTACCTTCACTTGCAACGAGAAGGGGGAGAAGATTCTTATCATTCTTAGAGATAAGACCAAGTGCGAGGTAGATATACCAGGGTTTTCTAACAACATTATCAGGGTCATCCAGATTCCCGGAACTCATTATATCGAGAAATTGAGGGAATTGAGTTTAGCGCGCCCATCACATACAGCTGGTCTATCTGGGTCAGCAGCTGTATGACTCACGTCCGTGAAGCTTCTGCAAAAAATAAGTTAAACGAATAGCTCTTTTCTTTTGCATTCATTACAGAATTTCAGACTGATATTAGTCAAGTTGTGCGGCGGACTGTTCTCCGTTAGACTGGCTGACTACTTCTCCGCTAAGATAACTGGATAACATGCTTCTTAGAGTTAAAACCGCCGCAAAATGTAATATTCCCCATTCTCCAGGTTGAAGGAATTGAACAGTGCACCCCAGAAGGCTGGTACCCGACTCCTGATTGTTCCAATGGGGTATGCTACTGTGTCTATGCTGATTCTGGAACCCCAATCTATGGTACAGAGGTTCCTGGCGCATTTCCTGACTGCGAGGAGGAATTTGACGACCGTTCTATTTGTAGGAAGTAAGTGCCAGAACCTTTGAAACCTTATAGGCACTTGAACGCCTGCCAGCCGCATATTCGGTTACCAGACTCGTAATGAAGGGCTTCTCCGCTGGTTAATTCTGACTTTAAATTAATCTTTAAGTATATTCCGGAAAGGAGTAAATTCAATGATATTATTGTTTACCATGGTTTATTTATCAACGTTTGTTTTAACCTCGCTACTCTGCCTTGGCCGGCCCCTACCGACAATAGAACTCCTAACTAACCACCCCTGTCCCAGACACAATGAAGCAGTTTGTCCCCACGAGTATATAGAGGGTAGGATAGTTAAACTAAGTTCCTGTCCCCTGGTGCTAGAGTGCTGGGATAACGGTCTCTTCGCTCCTAACCAGTGCAGATCTGATGGAATGTGCTTCTGTGTCAATGTCACGTTAGTTAAATTACCGTCCTCTTTCAATATGTCGTATTTTCATAATATTTTGAATTAGTATACTAAATTTTCATTAAAATTATAACTAAGATATGTTCGCTTACAACGGTTGAACTGTACAGGGATGGTGAACTTATCGAGGACTCGTTTGGCGAGAGAGGCAAATTTGCGTGTGACGAGTTCGGTAACATTGAGGTCCTACCCACCAACCCTCCGACGTCTTGCCAAGCACAGGTTTGTTAGTCATTACAGTTGACCATTACTTAGCGTATATGTAGAGTGACTATGTAAAAGTTAAAATGATAGAGCTCCGAGTAACTATGTAAAAGTTAAGATAAGCTTTGAATTCACCTCATTCTCTCCAGGACCAGCTGACTTGTGACTCGTTCGGGAACTTCTTGCCAAGACAGTGCACTAAACCAGTCTGTTTCTGTGTTTTCATGGACAGTGGCCGAGTGGTACCAAACAGCTTCACCACTGTTCTCGGGGTAACTTGACTCTTACAATACTCATTACTTTTCAACTGATAAATTTATCTTATTAGTACTCGTTAAGTCTTTCTACCTTACCATTTATCTTAATTCTAGTTTAAAGAAGACATTACAGTAAATCCAAGAGTGATTGATCCCGCTGTTAATCACTCTGTAACCCCAGGCAACAGATCAAGTTTGTGAGGAGCTGCTTGACACGAGGACTGAGTGTGAGATACGGAGAGATGAAGCCTGCATGCCAGTCTTCAATCACACCACGTGTCAGTACTTCACACTTATTAATTAATACTACTAATACTACTAATTATACTACTTCACACTTATTAATACTACTAGCAGGAACCCGTCAAACCTTTAAGACTGGTGTCAAGGCTCTTTGGTGGCCGGATCAGTTTCCTACCCTACTTCCTAAAGTCCCCCGGTGAAAATAATTATTACCTATTTAATTCGCGTTTTTGACACCACTTGTGGGTCCAAATTTTGGGTACTAAAATTCTTATTCCTTGGCCAATTTACGATTTTTTCATGCTGATTTGAAGGCTATTAAAGCATTTGAATCAGTTAAAAAAGTTTCAGTTTTATATCTTGTACGGTTTTTGCGGAAACCCGTGTTAAAGTTGATGCCGTGGTGTCAGTAAAATGGTGCGGATAAATAAATATATATATATCGTCTCGCTTTATATATAGTAAGATTACAACTACTACTACTTCACACTTATAACAACATAAATCACCTGTACCACTACCGCTAATGCAACTGGATCCATTAGTACCAATACTGATGGAAACTGACGGATTCGGTGGTGGCACTGTATTCAGTGGTGTTAAAGTCAATAGACTCCTCGACTCGATTGAAGCCATCTGTAACAGGGCCATCTTAATACCGTTATTGGAACCATTATATCTTGCCATTCAAATAACACCAACATAGTTCATTGTCTATACAATTACTGCTACTGATTGCAGAATCTTGTTACCTATACTAAACCATATTACCGTATAATTTAAATAAACCTTTTAACCCTCCTCATATAGACGAGTTTGAAAGTACGGAAGAGTGTTACAATGTGAGGTGTCGGAGTGACGGCACCTTCAGAGCGATGCAGTGTCTCTCCAGATACGCCTGTCACTGTGTTAACACTCAATCTGGAGAAATGATTACAGGTTAGATATTAGGACACACAGCTTATCATATTGTTATCGTGATATTGTTAGCGGCAGCATCTAACCACCTCCCACTTGGACGACACGGCCTTTGGTATTAGGAGATGGTGGAACATATTATTCCCTCTTAAACCCCTCTTGAACCCCTCTTAAACCCCTCTTAAACCCCTCTTGAACCCCCATTATTCAGGAAGTTCGACACCAGTAGGACAGTTAGTTTGCGGTCAGGAGGTGTGTGAGGGAGATCAGTGTTCCTGTTTCGACGAACGAGGACGACCCTTGTCACGTGTCTCATCTCCTCCCTGCTTCTTTAGTTAGTTATTTTCCCTTTTCCTCAGTAGTCAGGTTCTAATCAGCTTCTGGTGTGTTTTATAATAACTGTTAACTAAAGGCTGTGATAAAGCTTTTACATTACATAATGTTAGGGTTGGAAGCAATGCGGTGTCCTGAAAAGAGGAAGATACACCAGAGAATGGGATCAAGATATGTTGTGCAGTGCGATCCTGATGATTCAGACAAGTGCGCCTCTTAAGATTATTTCAAATCTTTACTTTGACACCAAGTAATTACCAGCTTACCACCAAATAATTACTAGGTTACCACATACGACAGAATACATGCTATAACAAGGAGAAAGAGTTTATTGTTTCTATTTCTTTAATGACCTTATTTATAGGTACGATTTAAAGCAGTGTTACCGAGATATCGAGTGTTGGTGTGTTGACCCCTTCAACGGGACTATGATAGAGGGATCTATGGGACCTCCTGACTCCGTTATTTGCATATGTGAGCACACATTCAATATAATTAATACTGACCTTTTTATTTTTAGTGATCGTTCTCTTATAACATCAGCATCCTTGGGAGGGGGTTTCGAAATAATGAAGCTGCTGTGATTTTCACATAATAGCTATGCATAAACTTGCAGACGTCAGGGAGGAAGCTTCAATATCTTGAAGTTGGTGACGTAAACTTGAACTTAACCTTATTATTTGTAAGGTGCTCACCGAAGGTTCTACAATCTCCATAACAAGATTGCTTTGTATCGGCCGTTTCTAAACTTGAAATTACCCTCTATAATTGGACAATATAAGTACCTGGAGGGCGGCGGGAGGTTCTTGAAACATAATTACCGTTAACTCCCATTCACCAGACGACCCACCGTGCGTACGACAACAGAAAGCAGAAATTGCTTCAGCTGTCAGTGTAGAAGGTTTCTATCCTGTCTCAATGTACTCAATCACTCAGGTGAGTTTTAATTTTATAGTGTGATCACTGATCAAATGTCGTCGAAAAAGCTTACAGATTTTAGTTGAAAATACAATGTAATCGTACGAACAGTAGCAGGCTATGGTGAGCCACTCATTTAACTGAACCCCTTTTTTCGCAGTGTGAGCCAGATGGAGAATACTACCCACAACAATGTAACGTCCGTTCCAAGGAATGTTGGTGTGTGGATCATGAGACAGGGGTCGAGATAAAGGTTAGTTTATAATTCTACCCCTCTCTCTGGAGACTTTTTCTATGCTATTTGATGTGTTATCTATTCTATAATTCATTCTGTAACTTGTTTAATTTCTAACAGGGTACCAGAGCGTTGCCCTGGGTATCAGATATTAAGTGTGTTCGGATACTCCCTCCTAAGTCAACACAGAGAAGACCTAAAGTTACAATCAAGTGTCCGAGTAATCGTGATCCTGTGTTCTGTCCCAGGAACAACTGCAACCGTAAGTTTAATCTACCTTTATAGATTACCTGGTGTTCGTGAAGTACCTTTACACTTTTACAGTTTACTAATAAACAGTTTATAAAACAACTATTATCTATGATGCGCAGGAGCGAGATGTGCGGCCTCCCCGAACGCTGCATGTGTACAATACAAGTGTCAGTCTTGTGGGGCTGTGTTCTACGACTCAGAGACTCTCTACCCCGTCTCTTGCTTACGTGAGTTGTTATTTCATAAGTAAACTGCAAACTGTATGAACAGCAATTGGTTGTTGATCTTGTAATTGTGTTTTAAATATAGAATTTGACGGTTGGTAAATGGTAATATCTCTGTAGTGCTCTCTTCCTTCTCGGGAGTTAGTACCTCCAAACCTTTAGAAATACGATCGAAATGTGCATGATTGTACCTCTAACTTAGTTAATTATACACGTTTAAACGAATGTACAGAGTTGTTAACTAAATTTACACCGCCCTAGAAAACAAGCTGCAGTGTTACTACGCTGACAGATACTACAGACACGGAGAAGAGTTTGATATGGGCTGCAGTTTAACTTGCTTCTGTTATATGGTGAGAATGATTTACTATTTAGTTGCCCTGGCAACAGTATCACGTGATGCCCTGGCAACAGTATCACGTGATGCCCTGGCAACAGTATCACGTGATGCCCCGGCAACAGTATCACGTGATGCCCCGGCAACAGTATCACATGATGCCCTGGCAACAGTATCACGTGATGCCCTGGCAACAGTATCACGTGATGCTTTATTTCTATTTAGTTTTACTGAATGGTGCCATGGATCCGTTTGGGCCGACTGCTGATTGTTTAAACAGTTATCATATCAACGTTTGGATAACTGAACAACTTTTCAAGTGATAGATCCATAGCATTAAGTAAACTTCCCACCTAGCCCACTACTAATAACTAAACCGTCACTCACAGGGAGGATTACGCTGCAGACCGCGGTGTTTGCTGCAGAACAGACCGGCCTGTCCTGATCCGGTCATCGTTCAGGACCCACTGGATCCTTGCTGTAAAGTTTACGCTTGTAGAGGTATGTGTCTTATCGTTACTATGGTTACCTAAAGTTTCCATGGTTAGTTAGTAGTTGTGTCCGTTTAAGTGATTTTGGATTTGTATAAAAATTAAACGTATGAAAGTTCCAATTTTATTCACTTAAACTATACCTTAAAATATGCATTCAAAATGTCAAAAACCCTATCTGGTAGCTATTCCTTAATAAATTATGGGCATTTGAGAACTTCTCATTTCGTATTAAGACTAAAGAGGCAAAGTACCAAGTATCGAATAATGAATATGTTCTTTAATCTATAATTTCCCATCTAATTTGAGTCCCGTCTTTCAGATAAAAGTTTCATGGCAAACTCGTTATCTATGTTCGACGATCTGAAAAGTCGAAGGAGGAGAGACATTAAATCCGATTTGTTACAGTTAGAATGATCATTTTATTTGGGTTATAATTTTTTTAATGGATTGCAATGAAGATGTTGGTTAATTTATCAGGTCGAACTGACTCTGATTTAAATTTCGTGCATAAATCAAATGGACTTATAATATGACAAATTAATGACAAGATAGATAAACCAAAACCGTGATCCTATACCAGCTTTCTTTAAGATTTTAACATTTTGATACCAGATAGAATTTTCAGAAACTTATTTACACATAGGTTCTATCAAAACTTATTTTTCATTTCCTTCGACCCAACCAACTTAAATTTGATGTCCAAGATTGGAATTGATAGTATTATGGGATAGAATATGTACAGCGACCCCGTGACTTAGAATTTTATGTTATTTAACTGTTATAACTTTGCTATATCGATTGCAATTTGAACTCTTTTACTCTTACGTTTATTAAACTCGTTTTTTAACCATTATGTAACCTCTTGCTTCTGCCGGGCCAGAACTCTGATAGTTGAGGGCTATATTAGATTTTTTTGAAATATCGCAAAGTGTGCGATTTCTTTGAATTAAAAACTATCTCACCTAGAAGAATAGAAGTAACTGGTCACATGGTCAGTACGTCGCGTTACTTAAATTGCCTGCACAAATAAACAATGCGCGGCGTGCGCGCGTTCCAACGCAACACGATTGCGCGAAAACCGGTGTATTTTGAACAGGAATTATGACTTAAAACTAGCAATACAAAATACCGCGACTAACACCGCTTGAGGAATAGGAATTAAAACAGCTTTGTAAAGACTACGGTAGGAAAACTCATAAAAGATACAAAATACTACAAAGCTTACTAATAACACATAATAAAATACCACTGAAGAACAACGCCCATTTCCCAATAAATATTTCATTAAAACCCAGCATAAAATTGAGTTGTGTCATTACTAGACCAATTAAGACTGGGGCTTTTAGCAAAAAAAAACGTGTAAGTTAACTGAACTATGATATTACACATATCTAGAGTTGAAAAGCACCTACTTAAATCAGCAAATTCTTATCAAACCCACGTTAACAGTTAAAACTAGTTATCACCACTGTAAGTTAAGCTGATCAGGGTAATGTTAGAGTAACACACGCTTAGTGTTATCATTTTACAGGATTTAACACACATCAACAAGTGAGTACAGTCCAGATCTCCATTGTTCACATGAACATGGGGCCGGGGGGGGGGCCGGGGGTATAATAATTGGCGCGTTTAGTATGTGTTAATAGGTAGAGGTATAATGGACCACACTTACATATTATTGTATTGTGTTTACATTCCGGAACAAACAGTACAGTGATATAAAGTTTTAGTCTGTGATACGAATAAGTCAAGTATCATAGGGCTTGAATGTTTAAATAATATATCATTAAACAATATACTAGTTACTTCAAGAATGGTTACAAGCTTACTGAACTACATGTAAATGTGCAAACAATCAATTACAAAACGCAAACTTTATCATTAGGAAAGAATTTAATATCAAATAAAATACCAAAACACATTCATAGGGTATACAGGTTACCTGACTAAACTTCAAAAAACCATCACTTTTCAAACTCCTGCTAAAAATTTTCAGGTTCATAACGTGAATATATCAAACCTATTAGAAACTCTATTAGAGATCCTCATAGTTCGATTATGTGAATAGAGAAACGATGAATTAAATTGTAGGATAATGTTTTCCATATCTATATATATAGAACTTCTGTTAACTTATTGAACAACCGTCAATATATAATATGATCTGATCAACAAAACTCGATCATTATAATGTCACCACTAAAGTAGGATTATAAATATCTTTTATCAATATTCCATAACTTGACAATATAATAAGTCACTGCAATAAACTATTTACAAGATTAGTTTGCTCAAATTTTACATTTTGTATATTATTAGTGTGATATTATCAGACATAATTTCAACCTACACATTACTCCAAGAAAATTGAGCAAACTCATTAGAATCAAACTATCTGTTCTATAAATATAACAACTACAACTCGACTCATAAGTGATAAGTCAGTATTAAACTAAACTTTATAGTTTTACTTGTCCACGAATGATCTTTTCATATAGAATATTGTCTAAACGAACATAATTTCCTATTGAAGGATCGCAGAAATAGAGCGGCGAACTGATCTTCGAAGGGTCGAAGCCTTCCCGAGAAAGTATTGTTTTTATGTGTTTAAACGTTCCAGTAGTTTCTATTATCTCCTGCAATGTGAACTATTTAGACATGTAAGCAAAGTGTGAATAATTTTTATAAGTGGATTAACTACAGGATAATTTCCAAGTAGAGGACTAATGTTAACATTTTTTATGTTTAATATCATCAGTGTTACACAATACCAAACAATAAAATAATCACGCAATAAATAGCATAGTTCAGTTACCTGTATTCTGATGAAGAGAGGTCGAGCATAGGCTGGCAGTCTCACACATATGTGATCATAAAGCGCCTCCAAGTCCAGAGCGCTGGAACTGCGGCACACCAGCGCTACCATTCCAGCGCGCCCGTCGTGTCCGGGGATCTGGACCCCATACGCGTTCACCTCTTCTACCTGCAATGGAGTAAGTTGCACGTGTGTGATGATGGAGAGTCTAGTCTCATATTGTTCCTAATGTAAATATTCGGAGAAACTCAGCTAATCAAAAATATCACTTGATCTAACACTCGGGATATCCTAAAAAGCTAAAAAGGATAATAAAACGTTTTAAAAATGCATTAAGAAATATTAACATAAGAATACAAACCTGTTGGAAGGATGAGATAGCTTGAGCTACCTCAGTAGTTGCCACATTCTCTCCCTTCCACCTAAACGTATCTCCGATCCTATCAATAAAGTACATGTTCCTGTATTGGTCCTCTTTAAACAGATCCCCTGTATTAAACCAACTATCTCCCCCACTAAACACATTCCGTAATATCTTCTTGTTAGTTATGGACTTGTCTCCCACGTAACCATCAAACGGGTACCGGGCTGACATTTTACCTATCAATAATCCAACTTCGTCAGCTGCTGCTTCTTGGCAGTATCCGTTAGCATCAGTGTACACTTGGTCTGTTTCTATATTGTATCTGATAATCCTCGCGCAGTGCAGGAAGGGAAGAACACAGGGAGCGAAGCCTACTGAGTGTCGTACATTGTGCCGGTTAACGAAGATAACATTTCCCTCGGTCGAAGCGTAGAATTCTCCGATTTGTGGAATGTTGAATTTCTCCCTGAAGATATCCCAGACATCAGGCCGGAGACCGTTACCAAATGCAAGACGGAGCTTATGTTGCTGCTGAAAAGGAGAAGTTGGAGTGTTACAGAGATATCTACACAACTCTCCTACATACTGGAACACAGTGACGTTCTCTTCCGCCACATCCTGCCAGAATCTGGTGGTAGAGAACTTTTTCCTCAGAATTACAGCACACCCAGTTGTTATCATGATACCGAACCCAACAGTGGAGGCAGCACTGTGGTACATGGGTAGGGTGATGTAGAGCCGGTCTTCTTTTGTGAAGCGGAACAGAGCAGCGTACCCGTACGCTACCCACATTGACTTCTTATGCTTCATGATAGCAGCCTTGGGGAGACCCGTCGTTCCACTGGTGAATATGTAATAAAGTGGGCTGAGGTATGTTACATTCTTCCTGAAGATAGCGGGAGGAGCACACGCGGACCTAGTTTCGGGTTTTATTGAGTTAGAGTCATCGCCACCAATGGTGAAGGAGGAAATTAGGAGCTCACACAGTTCAGACTGGATTGGCTGCAGAAACTCTGCCAGCTCATGGTTTACAATGACTGCTCTTGCTTTGCATGTTTTAATTCCGTGTAGCAAGCTAACACCTCTGATGTTGTTGTTAAGAAACGCACATTCAACCCCAACCTTAGCAAAACCCATCCACAGAGCAAAGAAATCCGGACAGTTTGGTAGGAAAAGAGCGATGACATCTCCCTTGATAAACCCAGAATCAAGTGCCCAGTGAGAAAATTGGTTGATCCTCGATTCAACTTGTCCGAATGTTAATGTTTTACCCTCGAACACGATACAAGGTCGATCTTTGTGCTTGGCAGAAGTTATCTCCCACTGGTCCACGAGGGTGAAGTTTCCTTTTATCAACTGGATCAGGTCCACACCAACCCTCACTTTGTAGTTTATAAAACCAATCCGGGCATCTCGGAAAAATGTGGGGTATTTCCAAAGAAAGATGGAGAACAAAACCACAGACCCCACTGCCAACCACAATACCATGCTTCTTCCAAGATTTAGTTCATGATCTGAAAATAGTTTAAATAGTTTACATTTATGATGTCATGATATGGTTATCGTTGCTATCTGTGAAAAAATGTACGATAGAATATCTGAAATCGAGAAATACCTTAAAAATCGAATTTCATTGAATTAGTCTTTTTTTGGAATTATATTACATAATGTTATACATTTCAAGATGGAATTATCATGTTTTGAAAAGCAAAGAAAACAATTTAGATCAGTAATAAATAATATATCATCATTATATTTGATAATCAGAATAAATTCAGAATATAATGTAAAATTTTTAGTTTTCAAAACTAAGTCTTAAAATAATTTATTAAGTTTACAGGATATAATGACTTCGTTATCCGTACAAAATAGACAATCATATTCAATTCCTGGGAACCGAAAAACGTTGCAAAATATTATGCGTTCAAACATTCCTAGTTTACATTACATATTCTTAGGTACATATTACAAAAGATCACACGCAACATTCGTAACATCGTAAACCATAATTTTAAAACAACAGAGATAAAATTTAACAAAAACCAAGAAAATTGCAATAGAATTGGGGAGAATTAAAAATAAGTCATATAATATATTAAAAACAAAGTAAGTTGATACAATGATGGTGCTTACTGTTATATAAGATTTAGATAAATCGAGCTTCAAACATGAATTCATGAAAGTTGTCGTAAAGACACGACAATTAAACGGGGCGTTGAACAATCCATCCTTTTCACCCATGTTTCATAAAATTAGAATCGCTTGTTGCTTGAGACACTTTTCTTTTCTACAGCTTTGCTAAATTGAAAACTGTCCAAAATAAGGTTCTTTGTCAAGCAGCAGTTTCATTTTGTAATCCTTGAAGATATCTTGATGGGGCTGTCAGGTGTAGCACTTCGAATCTAGGTGATCTACTCGTCACAATCTATGAGTACAGAGTAAAGGACTCAGGCTTCGTTAGCTGTAATTATGTAGGTTTCACTAGCTTGATCTGGATGGGTCGACTTCTGAGTGACAATTTTAAGGTATCATAAACATGAAAGATTCACTATATAAAAATTCCCTCGACCACACCCTTCAAATATTGCAGATACGATGTTCTAAATTGACGTTCCCTCCTGTCCGAATCACTTGAGACTCGCTTCTTCACACTCCGACAAGCGTTCGTAGCAAACGCTGGGTCCCATATTATGGATGATGTCGATCTGTGTTCTTTACAGGGAATGAGTAGCTGCGTGATGATTGCAATAGGATATCCTTAAAGAGTGGTCCTTCACCCACCCCCACAGGAAGAAGTCACACGGTGTAAGGTCAGGACTTCTAGCCGGCCAGTGTGTTCCAAGATGTTGTCCGATGGTTCTGTGGGCGAACTTGTTAGCGAGGAAATTCTGAACTGGTCGAACGATGTGAGGTCGAGCTCCATCCTGCATGAACCACCAGTCCGTGGTGAGGTAGGGGTTGTTGAAGGAGAACTGCGACAGATCAGGATACTTGTTCTCCAGCAGATCCATATAGCGAACTCCGTTGACTGTCACTCTACTTCCGTTTTCTTCGTAAAAGTAAGGTCCTAGGATTCCACGAGAACTGATGGCGCACCAGATCGTGACCTTTTCAGGAAAAGCCGTTCTCTCCACCACTTCATCCGGTCTAGTAGAGCCCCAGTGAATTGCATTCTGGGAGTTGAAATCTATCCTCGATTGGAAATCACGGTCCAAAAGTTTGTGTTTCTTTGTGATTCGGTAGGCTCGGTTAGAAACGTCTTGCTTTAGGATTCGCTGAAGGGTTGTTCTGCTGATGTCTAAGGCAGGAGCTCGTTTCCGGGTGCCAATCTTAGGTGTGTCCATCACGTCACCAACAACCATCGTGATGTTTTCTACAGTCCTCACAGTTCGTCTTCTGCCGACTCTTCGCCGATCGTGTGCAGAAAACGTAAACTTGATCTTGTGATGAATGTCAAAGCAGCTTTTCCGGCAAGGGGGTGGTCGGTTGAATTTCATCTGAAATTGTCGTTTAATCTGAGGGTAGAACTCCCCATTTTCTTTCTTCAGGTAGACGAACAATCGTTGTTCTGCAGTAAAGGGAGGATAGTGAACCATTTTCGATGATTCAATGGATTGTTCATTCCTTTTTATTGATTGTAAGGAACCTGTGACTAGCAGGGCTAACAAGCCCTGAAATGGTGACACCACCATAAATTCGTGTGATAGCGTTTTAGGTGCTGTCAGCTGTATAGGCCGGCCCATAAGCAGGCTGCAACCAATCAAGCGGTGCATGTGAGCCAAACAGGCCATTAACCAAGTGACGAGATCACTGACTGAGTGCTCGGATCACGTATCCGATGAGTTTTGAAATGGTCATAACTTAGCCATATTTTAACCAATGAACTTGAAACTTTGGGAAAAGTTTTCAATTATCAAGCCAAATGTGTGCAAAAAATTTTGAGTTCTTAGCTTAAAGCGTTCTCATTTTATGAAGACAATAGTGAAAAAGAGGGAGTGTCACGCCACGCCCACTGTAATTGGGCGTGGCTTACGAAACTTTCAGGAAATCTAAGTTTGACCCATATCTATAATCTCTGACATTTTGGTGCAATTTGGAGACGAATTACGTGAGTTATTAAGAGGTTGCGTGTGGGTAGTCACTTATGGGCCACCCTGTAATATAAAATAATCAAATAATCTGGCACTCCTATTAAAACTCTCATGCGCTGTTTCCGAAACAATTAGTTTAGGCCAAAATTGAACTAAAACTGATTTAGCATAAATCAACTTCCAAAGATGAAAAATTCATTAATTTAGTAACAGTAAAAACTTAAGAAATAAACGTCTTAACTAAATAAAACCATCCTGTGCTACCTCCTAGTAGTATAAACATTATCCGAATCTGACAGTTCCCGTTGCTTGGGCCACTTTTTCTTTTTCTCAGCTCGCTCACTCTCGGACATGTCCTGGCTAGAATAACTGGTACTTTGTCGAGCAGCAGGTTTCTTTTTGTAGATCCTTGAAGATCCAGCTCTTTGATGTGGCTGCTTGGTTTCAGGCACTGTCGATCTAGCGTAATCCTTGTACTCGTCAAAGTCTATGAGGGAAGGTGACATTAGCTCACAAGCGAACTCCTCAAAGGTCACGTCTCGTTTGTAGTTCTGCAATTTGTCCAGATTTCTAGCTCTATCCCTGTAGAATGTGGGTCGGTTCTGGGTGACAGTTATGGCTCTCTTAGCGTTGATGATGGTTTTCCGGACTAGTTCAGGTAAAATGTCCCTGTCGACCAGGGCCCCGTCAAATAGCGGCCCGATACCATGTTCTATCTTGGACTTCTCCTCCTTGTCACGGAAATTAACAATGACTTGAACTCGGCACTTCTTCAAATCCTTCATAGGGTAGATAACGATAACGTAATTCAGGTAGGACGATTTGAAAGTGTCTATGTTAACATCTCGGTTATGTTCGGACCAGATAACCCCAATGTAATCGTTCCCGATGTACTTAAACCGGTAAAGAGCAGCTTCTTGGTTGCCCGGTTCCAGTCTAGTTCCAATGTGAAACACAACCTCTACTGTAGCAGTGGCGTAGTGCACTGTTGTGCTCTTCATCACGTCTGTACCGATAGTTGGCACGTAGCCATGCAGATCGCTCCAGTTTACCTCCCATCCTAAACCTTGAACGAATTCTTCAAATTCCTTAGATCCCACGTTGTGACTGAGAGCATCCTTGCGTTTCTCGTCCCCCAGAGCGATGTAGATGAGACCGAACTTGTGTATTTCTCGATTGACAACGTTGTCCAGTTCATTTATAGCTCCCAGCACATCTTTCTCCTTCTCGATAATCTTTGATTGGTTGAGGAGTTCTACTTGTCTACCGTACTCCTCAAAACGCTTGTTCCAGGAGAGCAATCCTAGTGCACTTGCGAGACTGCGACATTGTTGAAAGGGGGATCCTGTCTCAAAGAAGATGGACCGGCTGGCCGAGACATCGCTCCCTATTGTCAGATTATCAGGTGTGTCAGATGTCATGGAATTCTCATTCTCCTCGTTAATCTTCTGATTACGGAGCATGCTGCCCACTTTGTTAAACAAATCCTCCTGTCTGTTTGGTTTCTTCAGTTCACGGTAGAAGGGCAGTTCAGGTGATGTTGCTTTTATGTAATCTATCGTCTGATAAAGTCTGTCCCTCCCATTATCAGGGCAAGATGGAGCACCAGAGTCTGTTCTGCAGAGGGTTCGGGAGGGAGTCAGAGTGGGACAGTCTTCTAAATCAACTTGATCAGAAGTGCCATCAACCAGCTCTGAGGGGGGAAGGGGAGAGTCTGGAGTCTCTTTAAGAGCAAACAACTTTTTACTCAACCAAGAAAACCTTCCGGCAATGTTTCTGAAAATAACCCTGCTGTAGCCAGGCTGAGATTCAAACGGTAGGTCGAGGAAAAGTTCAACCTTGTGGGGCAAACTACCAAACTCCACCAACGAAATAACGCTGCTTTTGTCCATCATAAGAATTTGCAGATCCTGCTTCTGGCTGAGGTGGGTGGTCTCCCCATTATTATCCTCTCGGTTGTACTCGTAGACCATGCTAGAAGAGTAGTCAGGTCCACCACATAGAGGAAACTGGTGATAACGCTGACATAAGATGAGCAGAGCAGCAGCTGCACAACACTTGATGTTCTTGTGGATATGGGGTTCTTGAGAACCTGGGAGGACAGGGTAGGACATGTCGATAGTTTCCAGGTTCACGTCCCCTTCCCTCATGTCTGTTATCTTGTAGTCTCTCAGTCTATCTAGGTGTGTTGAACAGTATGCTCCCACCTGATCACTGAATGTTTTCTCCAGTGCCACCAGTTGGAGTACTTTGAAAACAGTTTTAAGAAGTGAGGTGTACTCAGCATAGAGTACATTCCTAGGTCTGCTCAGATCGTCTGGTGAGGCATTGGTGTTGTGGATGTTTTCTGGCATGCACAACACCCAGTCAAGTAGTGCCATAATAGTTGTTGTGATAACTGCCTCCTGATAAGATTTCAAAACATTATCCTTGGCAGGAGGAGGCTTGGGAGTAGAATTAAAACTAGAGCTCTGGGAACTAGAGATAGGGTCAAACAGAGGGGTGGAACCTGGGGTAGTGGGACTACCACAATCATACTCATCATCAGTCAGGGTCTGAGCATCCATGTATTGGTGCAGAGAGGACAGTAGTGTTTCTATAATTTGTTTAGGAAGAGTGGGGTCGACCTGGAGGAGTTTGTTAAAGTCATCAGCAACGTCTCTGACAACGGAGAGTGCGGATAAAGCAACCTTACTGTTGGTAGACCGCACCTGTAACATCACGATATTGATGAGATCTGTGAGGTTCCTGACATCAGCATACTTGGTGTTGGATCTTGAGGACGATATCTCGCTGGGTGATGATATCTCTATTTTGTTGATAATCTGAGTGGGAGACTCGCGACCTGCTTCCACTCTCAAATCTGTTCTCTTTGAGAGCAAGGTAACTATCACGTACCCCAACATCTGGATAGCTTGGCTCCTGTTGAACTGATCAGTCTCAGATTTAGCAACTTCCTTCATTGTGATAACTATCTGCTGTTTGAGTGATTCATCAGCCCACGGGTACGTATAGAGGGAGCCAAGTAGAACGATTGCATCTGCTTTAGGACCACTAGCTAGGGTCGGGTCCAGGACACTGATGGCTCCCTCGGACAAACACTTCATAAGATCGTGCAGCTGACACCCGTTCAGGTTGATGGAGAAGAGGTGTTTTGTTCCTTTCACCACTTCAAACAGCAGGTCTTGCTTCGTTTTCTGGTAGCACCTGTTGTTACCCATGTAGCTTATCTTCTCTACCGGTCTAACTCCCTCTTTCTTAAGGCAGTTCAACAATACATTGTAGAACAGATGAAGCATTGGTACAGGAGGTTTTATCGGATTTAACCTGACCAGGCACTTGCAAAGCATCCTCATGGCCGACTTCTTCCCGGGTAGGAACTCTTCTGACGGGTTCATGAGGAAAGCTTCAAAGAACCAGGGAAGAATATGGTAGATGTAGGTGAATACAGGGTGGTCAGGCACGTTGTCTCGATAGTTGCTGCCTGTGTGCTTCCTGTCTTGCTTTCCCTTGTTGTCATCTAGCCACAGTAACATGTCCAGAATATCACTCAGACTCTCAAACATCCTCTTATGAAGGATGGCGCTCTTCGAGAACTTGTTTGGGTTTCCCTTCAATGTAAGGAATCGTCTCCAGAGGATTATGGGGTGCTCTCCGTTGTTAGGTCGCAACTCATCATCATCGTTATTGTGGTCATCCCATTGCTGGTTGTTCCCGTTTCTTATGGAGACAGATTGTATGAAGATCTTGTTCAGACCGTGATAGTGATACTCGATTGAATGGCAGGGATGAATCCTCTCTCCACTTTTTGTTTTACTTTTCTGAATCGTCGATTTTTCACTTCTAAAAGGACGTTGAAGTTTTGGAAGTTTTGCCAGGGCAGCGTTGAATTTAGCATTTAGATGCGACTTTTCCTCGATATGGCTCTGTAGTTTACCTTTTGCTTTCGGAGTTTTTTCGTCTTTTTCACAGTGAGGTTTCCACTCTACACCGTACACCTGAACAAATATCTCTTGAGTGAGTGTTTTCATGACTTCGTGCCAAAACTCGTTTGCCTTTGGAGCAGTTTCGTCTTTCTCCTCAAGTTTGGATAGAAGGTTTCTAAGATGTTTCCACGTGTTGATCGGCAGAACAACCTTCCTGCCCACAAACCTTACAACGTGCAGCAGGTTTAGAAGCTGCTTCTCGTACGTTTGTATGGGGAAGTTGTTGTCGAAGTTATGCTCGATACCCTTGATCATGCAGAGAATAATCCTAAAGCAGGTGTTAGCATCTGCCTGCTCTATCTGCTGAACAATCAGACTGTAATATCCCATGGTAGTTTGAGCAACTAACTCGATCATTTTCTTTGTCTGCCCTGAGAAGTTCGAGTAGGAATAAGGATATCTGAGAAGGGGAGCAACGTTCAGAGTCGCTGACTTCAGAAAGCTCCTAATTACTTTAGAGTTTTTCTGCCTCCGTCTCTTGCTGTTCCTAGGATTATCAGAGAGGAACTCGGGACAATGCTGGCTCTCCGTCTTGTTCCCCAGCACATTGCAGTCTTTAATGTTGTAGATCAGTTCGCTGTACAATGTTATCATCTTGATGAAGCTAAACTCCTGGTGTTCCTCTAGCGACATGAGATCTGCAAAGTTACTCTCCGTTCTTCTCTGCAAAATGAGAGGTCCATGTTCGAAAGCGTCGTTCATAAGTTTAACGTTGTCTCTGTCCGTGAAGAGCACTCTATCCACTATCCGACACACTTCAATCTGTTCTTTATAATTCTCCGCCTCTGTATACGTGTCACCCATTTTAGAAACAAACATACAATTGGTCTTTTCGTGCGGTAAAATTGATTTCCCGTGCTTCACAAACCACTTCATGATCTTATCACTCAGCAGGAAGATGCTCTCCAACTGATCGTTTGGCAATTCATTCATTGGTTTGTTGAAGTGGTCTCCCACCTCTTTCTCAATGATCAGCGGGCAGTCAGTTCCCCTGTGGTTAGATTCACAGCGTGGACAAAGCGGACAGTTCCTGGTGCTGTGTCCGGAACTTCTACATTTGGTGCACCGCTCCTCTACCTCCTCGTAATCGTGATAGCTAAGGGGCTTGATAGCAAAGATATTATCGTCTGTGGGCAATGACTGAGGTAAGGGTGAGTCGGGAGTGCCTGTGTCCGGGTCGGATCTGTAGGAGGAGGTAGAGGAGTGGACCCGTTCTAGTCTGTGTTCACGAGGTGGGAGAGCTGGTGGCAGTGACGCTGACTGACTGTGTTCACTCCGGTGTTCGGGAATGTTCTCGTAGAGTCTCACGTGACCACTTGAGGATAACGTTGAAGAGCGTTTACACTCTGACGTTGTCCGGTGTTTCGAGCTTCTTTCTTTACGTTTTTCGTAACCTCGAAGTATCTCTTCGAGGTAGTTTTTCTTGCAGAGGTTAAAAACTGTTCTAAACCCTTTGATGCGGCGTTCTTGCAGCTCCACTTCAGTGACATTGGGCCAGTGTATGTGTGTTATGTTGCAAGTGAGACTGTCCAGTAGGAACTCGAACCGTGGGACGACTGTTTCTCTGTCAGGACTGTCTTGTTCGGGATGCTTTATTTCCGGTAAGATGTGGTTGAAAACATCAACCGCTATTGAGTTGTGCTTGTGTTTCAAATCCATGAGACCCAAAATCCAAAGTACCGTTAGCCTTATACCTTTTTGTTTAAGTGTCGCTGTATTATTTGGAGCGAGATTGACGGTTGATGATAATATCTCTTTGAGCATCCCAGCGATCCCATGGTAATGCCACAAATCATTGATTTTGTCCGGTAGGTATTGTAAAACTCTTTCTAAAGTCGGTATAATAACATCCAATAAATCAGCTTCCTCAGCCCCACTTTTCTTGTGTTTCTTCATTTGTACATGGTCAAGATAGTGCCAGAAAGCTTCGTAGATCAAGAATATGATCTCACCACAATTATCCCTCAAGAAGGAGGTACCTTCATACGGGTCCTTACTGCGACCATCTTTAGCATGTAGATAAGCCTGTAACCGCTCCTTTGGACTCTTGCTAGTGTCCGCAAACTTGCTGATGCAGCCCCCATCTTTGGGCTTCTTCAGTTTCATTATTCAGGTGATCATTTCTACTCAGATATAATTAGTTATCAAACAATATTTAAACTCGTTATATTATAATTGAGAGTTAAAATGGATCAAAGAATTATAGAATAGACATAATATGTTACCATGGGGAGGTGACATGAATTTTCTTCCAAACATTGAGCCAGGAAAACTAAGTAATATGGCCTTGAAGAGGATGCAAGATATTCCTAACAGCCACATTTAAACGCCTTCTATAAGCTATAATTTTTATAGCGAAAATTTAGGCCGCCTCCCCATAGCCGTGATTTCCTTTATCTTTAGACCTACAATCATTCAGTTACAAAACAGTAATACTAAAACTAAAATTGGTTACGAAATCAATTATAATTCATTAAAAAACAGCACGGCAATCATCATGATCTATCAGATAGTGCTATCTGCTTTATTCATTATTAATTGTTGAATATAGCACTTAAAAAAAACATGATAATCTTACAGTCAAACACAAAGTAACAAATTATTTAGATATGTTTTTTGAGACATCGATTAAATCGTTGATTTTTGATCAATGAAACTAAGCTCTACTCTTTGCATGTAATATTTGGGCTTGGCAAATTGCATAAGATTTTCTGGATAATCTAACTGTAACAAACAAACAAACTATCAAAAGGTTGAAAGCGGCAATTTTCTAATTTCAAGGCGATAAATAATAGATGGAATTACATTTTGAGAAGAAACAGCTAGGGTCAGAAAAACAAAATACCGGAAATGTTTCACTAGGCCGGAAAACATTCAGCTATCCTAAATCATCTGCCGTTAAATTCGGAAAAACTTCAAAGTCATGATTTAATCCAGAGAGTTACGTAGTGCTCCATTACATAATATAAATATGTACAATATAATGTACATTGTACACATCATGTTGATTTGGAAACAGAATTCTAGTTGCGGGATAATGGGGTTGGTGAACAAGTGGTGAACGTATTGTTGGGTAACTTAATGAAAACAATTGACATAACAATTAACAACAGACAAATTAAGAAGCTTGCAAGGAATGTGAAATTTGTGTAGGGACCTAAAATGACAATTTGACCAATTATCCGGTTCAGCAGTTCGAGTTACGTTACACATTGTGTTACACATTGTGTTACACATTGTGTTACACATTGTGTTACACATTGTGTTACACATTGTGTTACACATTGTGTTACGTGTCAAACCTAATGTTATGCTCAGTTTTGTGACATCATTATACAACCAGCACCAATCACCCTGTCAATAGTATTTAATACACTGATGAACGCTATGTACCCAGCTTGTTACGACATAATATGTGTAAGTATAAAACTGTATATTTCAACAGGTAATTTAAACTATTTCTAGGGTACAAAAGAAGTACGTAATTTCATAATTACTCTACCATGCCCCTTGTTATATGTTAGCTATTCTAGGTCCCCTACCTTCTGTCAGGGATGACCATAAAAATAGGATCCGGTTGGAAGTTTCTAATCCTCTAACTGCGCTAATAATTACATTGCATTAATTAATTAATTACACGTTATGCAAGTGCAAACACTTGCAACAGTTCTACAATGTTCACATGCTACGTAGTGATTTACAACAAGTTAATGTATTACTTCTGAGTTCTGTTAATGACCACATATCATAGACTTATAACAATGCTGATCGCTCTTTTTGTGAATTTAGTGTAAAGAGTCGCAGATGTAGAAGGAGCAGATTTTAAGCCGGTATTCTTTAATACCATCGACATCACTTAAACGATCTTGAATTCAAAGCTATAAAAGATTGGTCTGTGATCACAGCTATAGCTATCTAACTTAATTAATCGTATAAAGTCTGATGTGCTCATAATAAGCACCAATAGCAAGTAAATGACATCATTATTACCATTCTCCAAAAACACTTCCCAGAGTCAAATTACCACCATTAAATTTACCAGCATTCATAAATTATCACTAGTTCAATCATCACTGTTCAGGTAGCAAACGAAATAACAAAACATCCTCCAACTGATTCAAACCTCTAGTTAAATTACTTTTAGTACTGTGACAGTCAGATGTGACCCTCTCTAGGTTAGCTTGTAAAGCTTTACAGTCAGTGTTTAGAAATCTTATCCTGTTCACAACTCTATCAAAATAACCGTTAACTAAACCGGTTATCTGGTTTGAAAATACTGCGTTCCTTTCTCGTAAGTTTTCCTCGAAGAGGGTGAGAGAAGGAGAAGGAGGAGGGAAGGAGCTTGTGGAGACTACTGATTTCACTTCAGTGTCAGGTCCTACAACTGGGGAGACATTGTAAGTTGTCATGACAACCGGGGTGGAGTCTGCAGGTATTTCCTCGTTATTCGTGGTAGCTGGCTTAGTTGCTGAATCAGGAATAGTAGAATTGTCAATAGCTTCAGAAAATTCCTCTTCTGAGTCAGAGTATTCTGATTCTGTTTCTGAGGCCTCGCCGTCAACAACAACATTTGCATCCATGATGATAACCTGGAGTATTAGTTGTTATCTACAAATTATATCACATTTTCAGCATAACTGCTCGTTTTAATTTTTTCTAAATTTGAATACAGAAGAACATGATTTAAAAACTTTAGTATATAAAATACTAAAGTTTTTATATAATATAATCAACTTTGCAAGATTATTTATTTTATCAGAGAGAATGAAGTAAAACTCAAAGAAATGAAAAGTTGGATTTATAAAAATCAAAATGTATTATTTCATCTCAAATAGTATTTAATTTTGCAGTATTATATATATATATAATTATTGAACAACATAATATCAATACCATCGTTATATTATATTATAAAGATTGAAGTGTAGCGTGCAAGTAAGGTTTGACTTAACTTATAATATCGATACAAAAAAAGATCTCATGGAAAGTTAATAGTTTAATTTGCACATAGCTGTTTAAACTTTTAAAGTTTTGTTAAAATATTGTATCTTGATATTCGCTCTCAACAGTTTTGCTTCAACACTTTGAAATTAACAAAATTTTATACCAATTCAAAAGCAGTATGGAAATTGATGTCAAAATAAACTGAACTTTTCTCGAAGGTCTACGAAGGTAGATGTTATGACCTAAAATACAAATCAAAATTAAATGGTTAATACAAAAATCAACCTCATGTATGAAAAGAGTTTTTACAAATGTATAGTATGCTGTAAACCAGCCAGCAGCAACAATCAACATCTATGACCCAGAAAAAATGATGTAATACATGAAATATCAGATCAAAATCATTACTTATCTATCGACCACAGAAATCTAGAAATTAATCTCTACGGTACATATCATTAAGATTTGGCTATAATCTTGTTCATGTCCTTGGTAAGCTTGTTGACCCCAAGATTAGCCTTATCAGCCTCCTGATTCACATCTACTAGTTTCTTGTTCTGCCTATCCAGTTCCCCTCCCATAGCTAGCGCCATTTCCCTCATGCTCTGTACACCCACACCTATCTGCTGCAAATTGTCGTGTGTCCGGTCTGTGTCCAGCCTGTGTTTCTCCTGTGTGAACACTGGGCCAGATCTCACATCTCTCCCTGGTCCTGCGGCTGGGCGTGGTGGAGCTGCTACTGGTTCTACTTTAGGAATGTTGACTTGCTCTTTCGGAGGACCTGTTGCTCTGTTCCACAGGGCCCCGAATATGCTCTTAATCCCCCTCACGTGATGCTCGCTCTTCTTCACTGACTGGTTTATATCCACCAGGTTGTCATGGATCTTGTCTATCTGTTTCCCCTGACCCTCTAGTTCAGCAGCTGTTGCAGCTCCCATGTTCAATGTTTCCTGGACTAATCGGAGGGATTCAGTGGTGCTGTCCTCGATATTCTTCTGTTTCTCCTGACATTGTTCCTGGACAGCTTGGTGGTCTCGGTAGTTGTACGATGTTCTGGGTCGGGAGTAGTTTCGGGAACTTGAACTTGGCTCGTCAAACGGGTTAGACATAAGAACTGAGAAACAGGAGTTTTGTTAGACAGCTTATAATGTGTACACATTCTGCATTATATACGTATTTATTTTGAACAATGAAATACTTGAACGCTACTTGAAGACCAGCGAAACATAATTAAGATGTTTTTGAAACTTGTAAATACAATAAAACCAATTTCGAATATTTCATGCAAATTGTTTATATTTGTAACAAATGCAGTTATCTATTATCGTACAATGTTTATAATTCATATTCATAGCTATGGATATACTATTTACCTAGTTGTACGTTATGTAAATATTTAATGTCTAATACGAAATGCAAATTGATTATGAATACTTTGTGGTATGTTAAGTTGATTAAGTTGGAATTTACAAAAACGCTATTTCAACCAAGTACGGCAACAGAACAATAGATTAAAATACTTACTTGTACTTGTACTTGAAAAGGTCTCCTCCTAGTCGTTGGAGTGGCCTGCACCACATAGTAACTCCTTTCTCCGGTGTATTAGACCTCTCCAGTGAACCCTATCTGTAGCTTGTTGTTCTGCATCTTCTATCGTGATGTTATCGACACCTGTGAAGATTGCTGCATCCTCCCGGACGCATGACAACCAGTTTTTCCGAGGTCTGCCTCTTGATCTTTTACCATGTTTTGGGATCCAGTGCAGAAGATAGTTGGGAATTCTTTCTTCTGGCATCCTCACCACATGGCCAAACCATCGGAGCCTAGCTGCTCGTACGAAAGTATCAACAGGGGCGATGTTAGCCCGCTTAAGTACGTCAGCATTAGATACGTGATAAAACCATTTGATTTTCAGGATTCTTCTCAGACATCTATGATGGAACACCTCGAATCTTTTCATCTGCGTCTGAGTGGTATTCCATACCTCACTTCCATATAGCAGTATAGTGAGGACAGCCGCTTTGTATATCCTGATTTTAGTTGGTGTCTTGATGTTGCGACTGTACCATATACTGCTAAGCTGATAGAATGCCCCAGAGGCCTTTTGAATTCGAGCTGACAGTTCTTTGTCAATTGTTCCATTCCCACTGATGATAGCACCCAAGTAAGTGAAACTGCTAACCTGCTGTATTGGGAGACCTTCCACACTGATGTCCATAGTGTCGTCTTTAGAATACGGCCTCTGCGATGCACTTTTACTGACAACCATGCTCTGTGTTTTGCCAGCATTAATCTTCAGACCCGCATAGGCACTGTATTTGCAGAGAAGGTCAGTGGTTTCCTGCAGCCCTTCTTTTGAGTTATCTAACATGGCCATGTCATCAGCGTAATCAGTGTCCAAGAGATGTTTTTCTTCTACCCCGGGGGCTGGCAGCTGTAAAAATAAAAAAATACACTATCAAATTATATCATTATGTCAAACAATTTAGCTCATGTTGAAAGTCAAAATAGTACAAGGTTAAAAGCAAGATTATCAAAAATAATAATTTAGTCTTTAAAATATACCTACCTAAAGTATTCTTTAAAAATTTAAATTCACAAAAACCTGAACCATGTGCAACAACAACGATAAAAAAGGGCAGCAGCATTCAGGAATGATTAAAAAAGCCGATTGACTTGACAGCTGTTTTTGTGATTGCAATTTGTTTATACTAGTTTGCAATAATTTAACCAAAGTAATAACATTACGTGCGTTCTCTAGTAGGATTAAATAGGATTAAACCCGATCCCACACATCTTCATACCGGTACAATGCTTATAATACCCATGCTATACTGTTACTCATGTACATGCTTCATCTACCCCACATACTAACAAGTTTAAGTGATTAGTACGACCAGCTTATTGTACTCGAAAATCCATCAAATAGACAAACTAAACATCACAAATTCTTCATAAAACTAACTAATAATTCAATCTAAAATGGAATAACTTTTTCTTCTAACATCCATGTCCTTAATTTGGGTGCAAGCAGTCCACCTAGCAGAATCTGACAAGGGTGATACATCAACAGAGGAATGGTAATGAAGCTGAGAGTCGGATCTCCACTATACATTATTTTCAGCATGGGAATACCAAGAGTGAGACTTTTGTGAGTAGCACAATACATGGCACACACTGTATCAGCACGACTGAAGCTGCACCACGAGGATTGGGAGACAGAGAATACGGTGTAGAGAAGGAACATCTGGATGAGAAGAACACAGAACATAACTGTTACCAGCTCAGAACGTGGCAGATCAATGTCCTTGTTAGAGAATGTATCACAAAATGCAGAGTAGATAATGAGCAATAAAGTGCAGCTCGCTATTGTACCAAAAGGAGGTTTCTTCTCCTCCATCCAGTGGACAATTTTAGGGCGGATATATTGTCCAATCATAATAGGCAACACAACAGTGCAGCACAACTGAGCAAAGATTTTGAAGAAAGGGACATCTCCAGAGAGACCTAGTGTCATCAGTATGAGGACTGGAGAGACAAATATACCAATGAAGCTACCTAGAGCTGAGTTGAATATGGCAGCAGCATCATTTCCTCCAACAGCTTTAGTGAGAATAGCAGCAGAAGAAACAGGTGGGGGCATACAACTGACCACAATAAATCCGTTAATCAGGGTGGGGCTGAGCAGGCCGTGATTGGTGAGAACAATTGCCACAAACTGCATGAAAACAGGAATAAACATCATGGTAAACATCTGGATGAAGGTGTGCAGTTGGACCTGAAAATGTAGATGGTTAGTTATCATAGGTGGCTAAAAGATGATAGGTGGTCTGCTTTCAAGGGTCTTATAATAAGGCTTATAATGATACAGAACTTTTAGTAAGCTATCCATTTTTTTGCCTCCATTTTATAGTCAGAAAATACAGTTAAACCAGACAAACCTGAGACATTGCCTTCTTAAACTCTTCTGATTTAAGGGATAGTCCACTGTTCAAAAAGATCAGACAAACAGCAAAGTACTTTATTGTTATTTCAGGCATCAGAATACCACCTTTTTTACCAACACTGGGCTCTAATTTAGCAAGAAATATTGCCATGAACAACCCAATAAGAAACCAATTCTTCGCTATGAAGGTGGTCATAATCAGTCTTGACACCATCTTTCACGATTTGAAACTTCCTGATTAGTTAAAGATTAGTTAAGTCTAGAGTAGTTGAGAGTGCATCAGCGTACATGTGTTCACAACAACCGACAATGTCTATCACAAGAACTTGCAATGACAACTTGCGAAAGAATAATCATTAAAGCTGTACTTGTAGAGGTGATGTCACTGATGCATGTAATCAACACTGTTTAATCTGTAAGTATTGAAACAGGACGGCAGTAAAAGCAAGTTATAACTACGACTAAATAAAAAGAATTACGATTCTGCAAGAAATTAAGAGTAGAAAAGCGGAGCAAAACCACAACACAATGCATTTTTTGTTCACTCAATCTAAGAGTGCATCATGTGGGCAAAGGATTCGATCGAGAAGACTCTTTTGGAATCTTTCCTTCACAATCCGTTGTCTAGTTGTTTCGGTAGTGAAATACCTGCTTCATTAAACATGTTAATAAATCTAGATTCAAGAAGGACTTATTATTACTAATCAGGCCTCCATAGTTGATGCTGATACACAACCAGTCTCTCAACTCCCAAGAGACATCAGGCAAATTAAAATCTTCTATCAACAAATTTCAAAATCATGATCTACATTACAAATATTTTTAAATATTCATTTGAAAATTTTTTCAAATAAATATTTAAAAAAAGATAAAAGAAAAGAATACCGGGTATCTCGGTATAGGTTTGCCAACCGATATTATCGACCAATAATTATCAGCGATAATTTTCTAAAAATCGTTAATTTTCGAGAATTATCGCGATAATCAACAAATTTTTATAATGGTAAAATGGCCAACATTTAACATATTTTTCGAATCTATTTCTCTGTTTGTAAAGTTAAAACCCAGTGCTAGCATAATTTGCAGTGTGATGGTCTACTGACGTGCTGTGTAGTGTGTACTGTGTAGTGTGTATGAATTTGTGGCAGTGAAAATTGAAATGTTGCGTTATCACATCTAGTAGGTATAACTTGGAGGTTTAGTTGTATGGTCAGACCTCGGCGAGGCCCAGTCATGCAGTGTATTTTGCCGATCTACCGAAAAGAAAAATTATTTGATGCGCGGCACGGCCCAATAGTAAATAGCCCAGGTCAATATCATTACATTTTTTTTTTTTTTTTTGAAATAAATTTTCGTGCACATACAGAATGAATGGTTAATAATTTAATATATATGTAGACCAAGGTCTGTGCACGGGATGCTTCCTGGAAGAATCCAGTTCTTTTAGCGGGGCACCCTACCTAAAGCCAAATTGAGATATAATAATCATATTCCTAGAGAAATAATCAGAAATCGAATACCAATCAAATAATATGATATATAGGAGTAGTAACCATATTTACTATGCAAAATGCCCCAACCACATAGTGTAAATTTATATAGAATTCAAATTCCATATCATCATTAAACCTCAATAGTCAATATAATAGCCCAAGCAAAATTAAATAACTTCTTATATATATATACCTTACTGTCATACTACAAATTAATTAAACATTTGAAATCTGTTAACCAGAGAATAAATTTCTAAACCTAATGCAAGTGAAATAATTTAGATGCAATAATGAATGCCTAATGTGAGTATCATCTGTCAATGTCCTTGTAAAAAAGTCTGTAAAAGAGATATGAGTAACTAATATAGAAGAAAAAACAGGAAGTTGTCGTCTGTTGAAAAATAAATAAAATATCTAGAATATAAATTAGAATATAAAATAACATTCAGTCAATGTGTCGTTAATAAACTGTACAATTATCAAATGTTAAAACTGGGTGATACAGTCACCAAAAATAAATACTAAGTATAATAAGTAAATAAATTAAATGTGGTCTATAAAACTACCACTAGGTATAATAGGTCAATAAATTAAAAGTGGTTTATAAAACTACCACTGTGCGAACCCTTCCTCCAGTTAAAACATGTCAGTCATGTGCAAAATCAATCAAAAAAAGGTAAAAAAAAGGGAAAATCCTTTCGATACATCAATTATATATGCCTCAGATTTAAAAGAATTAGAAGATACTTAGTTATCGTCGACTATGATTGCAGTGTAAAATTTGTCATATGAATTGTCGACGGTATAATTAGGGTCTGTTGTTATAGATGAGAGTAGCTGTTTCTTATACGAATCACTTAAGCTTTTAACATCGGGCAGATTTCGTAGATCTGTTGGAACATTATTCCAACATTTTGCCCCCAAGTATTGAAAGTTTTTATGTGATGTTGATCTATTAACATATAGGTTGCAGCTTTCGCCGCTCCTACTACCTCCTGATATGTAACTAAATTTGTTCATAAAGTTTGTAGGACAATTGTCATGGATGATTCTAAACATATAATTTGACAGATGGAGTTGTCGTCTAAGATGGAGTGGTAACCATTTCATGTCTCTATAAACATTAAGGCTGCTCTCTGTTTGTGGAACGTTGAGAGCTATTTTGGCTACCTTTTTGTACAGAGTGTCAAGTTCAGCAAGTTTTGTCTTGCCAGCTCTACAATAGATCGTGTCTAAATAATCGAATTGTGGCAACATGAGTGCATTGGCAAACATTTTCCTATATTTAATGGGTAGCAGTGCTTTACTTCTATACATGGCACCAATTCTCTTCATGACCTTCTTAATAATATAATCTACATGGCTTTTGAAGTTTAATTTACTATCTAGAATGAGGCCAAGATATTTTGTCTCTTTGCACTCCTTGATTGTGAAAGTTACCTCATTACATTCAATGGTTAATTCATCATGTTGATCAACAGAATCAAACAATAGGAATTCAGTCTTCGTTTCATTGAGTGATAATTTATTTACACTGAGCCATTTAAAGATTGTCATAAGTTCTATTTTCATGTTTATAAATGTGCTTCTGCAGGTTTGATCAAAGAATAGTGCACCATCATCTGCAAATAGAAAGGGCTTAGATAGGTTACAGGCATAAATGATGTCATTTATGAAGATACTAAATAATATAGGCCCAATGATGCTTCCTTGTGGTACACCACTCAGAACTTCTAAAAATGAGCTTATTTTGCCATTGATCCTTGTGCATTGATATCTACAAGATAAGAAGTTCTTAAACCAGGTTAAAGCAATGCCACCAATTCCATAATATGCCAATTTTTGAAGCAATATTTCATGATTCACTGTGTCAAAGGCCTTCTTAAGATCAAGAAAGATGATTCCTGGTTTATAAGACTTAGATTTACTCATATATATTTCGTCCATCAGATCGTACATCAAATAAGTTGTGGAGTGATTAATTTCGCATATTATATATAGATGACATATTTCGCATATTAATATACGACATATTTCGAAGGAAAACCACGACATAACAAAATTATTGTTAAATTAAGTTACAAATTAATTTAATTTCAGAAATAGTTGATTACAGAATTCCTTTTTAAAAAATTTTTTCGAAAAAATTTCTTGAAAAAATTTTGCGAATATTTTGATATTTTCATGACATCCGAAATCATGACATCCGAAATCTTGACATCATGTCATGATTTACAAATATCTGAGAAAGGTGACGCATATTTTTACCTGTATTTTACAGGCAAAACTTGACATGAAAAACGTCCCCGCATATTTGATAAGATGAGCGCATATTTGACATGGATCTAAATATCTGACGGGGGATATCATATAAAAAATATCCTTGTGTTTGAAAAATTATATCAAAAAAGTTAAGAATTTTTTAATAAATTTTTCTAGGACTCGCCTGTAACAGGCTTTGTCCCCCTGGATCGGGCTCTGCCAATTTGGATCATTGTGGGGCCCAAAAATGCCCCATCGGGTGATAAAAACCATGACATATTTCACCCAGATATAATAATATACGACATATTTTTAATGATATTGACCTGGGGTAAATAGTGCATTGTAGTAGAGGCTCTTACGGGCATTGTCTGCTCGATACGCTAGGGACCCCAGATACACCTTACTAGACGTATTTTTGACCGTAGAATCGATTAAAAGTGGTTTTAAGATGATTGGACTGACTTTTTGGGGGTAAAATTGCAAAAAACCGATTTTTGGGCAAAAATAGGCCAAAAAACCATGTTTTTTGATATTTTGAACAAGTTAATTTTGTTGGCATGTCGGCAAAACTTGCATGGAGATAGCTAAAACACAGCCGCACAAGATGATATAAAAATTTGAAAAATCCCTCTATTTTTTTGGGGGTAAAAATCCAAAAAAGTGGTAAAAATTTGACTTTTTTTGCTTGAAGTTTGAATAATTTTTTGCAGTTGCATTAAATCAACCCAAAAATAGTCACATCGTGTTTGCCTAAATTTTTCCTTTCCGAGAAGTACCCACTTCATATACTTTATCGAAGTTTGAATATTGTCACTCCGCAAGCGTTTTTGCCAAATTTTCGACGAGGTTAAGTGAGTGAGAGTTGTGTTTGAGGTCTGTGTAGAGTAACGTGCAGTGATAGTGAGTGCAGCGTTAGTGTGCTAACCCATTACCAATTTGTTAACAATTCATTTACTAACCCATTTAACCAATTGTTACCAATTTAGTTACTAACCCAAATTACAACTTGTTTTACTTTGTCTCCCGTGATTGATCAGAACATACAATTTAACAGTGGTAGCAGGAAGGAACGATTAGATCAATCATGGGGGAAGACAAAGTCCCTAGGTTAACAGATACAACGTGTTATGGGGATTGGAAGAGAAGGGTTACTGTATGGGAAGTCTCAACAAGCACAACTAAGAACAAGAGAGCAGCTACCCTTATAACGTGTATGAGCGGTAGACCAGAGCAGGCTGCTATCCAACTCAAAATCGACGATTTGAAAGGAGAAGATGGAGTAAAGAAACTGATAGCAGAAATGGACAAACTGTTCCTACCAGACAATACCCAGCAAGTGTTTAACGCTTTGGATGCTTTTTTGGAGTATAAAAGACCAGCTGATCTATCTATGGAAGACTACTGCAGGTAGTTTCACTACAAGAAGAAAATAGCAGAACAGATGAGCGACAAGACAGACAGGTTTGATGATGGTGTC